AAATTTTATCCGCTACTTAATTATTACGTTCTTTTAAGAAAAAATCGATTTATAATCCCCTTAATCCGATACAAATAAATGATAAGGTAAATTTCGATTTACATTTATTTAATTGTAATCTTAGTTATTTATCAAAAAGTCGGTTATTTTTTGTTATAAATAAACAAAATTTTATTCCCATCAAATTCATTTTAGTGTTTTAATTTTATTTTGACGGCGCAATAATATTTTTTTTTTTAACCTCCTGGACTACACTGAAAAATATTGGGTATACAAGTATACAGTTTTATCAATGACAGAACTAAAATCAGTAGTCAAAGTATTTTGGTTAAATTAACAGAAATTGTATACTTAAGATTTCAACAAGCTACTTTTTACACATTTAATAAATTTGTCGTCATATAAAACTATCCTTCAACTTCAAAATCAATTTCAGAAATGCTATTACAGTATAATATGTATTGAATTAGATTAAGTATATCGAAAGCTTGGATTTCTGCACGTTACCAAAGTAAAAAATGTTACATAATGTCAGCATTAAACTAGGTACTTAATTGCCTGTGTTTACAATTTCCTATCATATAAGGGCGTACTTTTGCTTATCAAAATAATGAAATCAAACGTTTTGCCTTTTGTTTGTCGCTATGTTGTAATTAATAATATAATTATCTATTAAGAAATGATAAATACCTAGATAAATTTACACATTAAAAATGTTTTAATTGCTTTTAAATATTATATAGTCTGTCGGTTCAATTTTAAATTTAATTTTATTAATTTAATTTATATTTACTGATAATATCAATTTAATTCTTAACACATTAAATATTCAAACATTAATTATTATAGTTAATTATTTTAATCCCTTAATTAACGCCTATTGAAATATTCATCAAATTCTGAACGATATTTATTATAAAATCGGAAACTTAAACTATTATGAAATATTAATAATATTAGTAATAGTATCAGTTACTTATTGAAAGTTGTACCTATATTGATTATAGATTTTGTTATCATAATGAAATGAAATTTAAATATGAAAACCAAAAAAAAACACGTGGAAACAGAACCATGTTGAAGATGTCTAAAAAGTCAAGCTTTAGTTTGAATATACTTACAGAATATAAAAAGAAAATAGAAAGGTTTTTTTAGGACTATTTCAAGGATAGGTTGTTACAGTTGCCAATACAAAATCGCGACTCAGTTTGATTTACCCACTTCACTAATTAGCACCAAATTAATTGGCTCCAAATCAACGCTTTTAATATATTAATATTTTTGCATTTCGGTAATATTTTTTGCTACATAATTAAGAATGTGTCCGTCGAAATCTTAAGATTTGCCTTCTTTCTAGGGGTGTATGTAAAATATTTTGTTCATATAATTTCAATTATCCTATTGTGCTTTTGGAAAACAATATTGAGTCTACCGATAATGTACATACTCAAATCTGGAAAAAAACAATAGTATTACGTTGGACCATTTAACTCATGGTCAACATTTTAGTCGACCTGTGTGATATTCCGATACATTCAATTATAAATTTATACGTTTAAATTTTATAAAATTTGTTTTTTTAGCGTAACATTAATTAAGTAATAAAATATTAAATTCAAAGTACGCCTATATAAAGAGTACAAGTACATACATACGTACATATATAGATATAAAACATTTACAACTTTTTTTTTTTTTGGTATTTTAATTTGGTATTTAAAAAAGTACGATAATGAATTGCAACTTTTATTTTTAGACTATACGATTTTCTATCAAAATTTTTAATATCTTATTATGTGAGTAAGAATATGTATATATTTACTCATAAAAGTTTTTACATATATACATAATTATAAAGTATAGTATATTTAGAATTTATTCACATTTTTTTAAGTTCAAAAAAGGTGATTAAGTAGATTATGAGAAATAACATTTATGGAGAAATGAAATATATATAAAACGTAATTAAAGGTGATTCGAAATTAACATCAATAAAATAATATCACGTTTGTGTACAGTGCAAAATTCATATACATACATATGTACTATGTATTGAAATGATCATTTGTTTACAAAACAAGATGTAGGGCAAGAATATGCAAGAAAAGCATTAAAAGTTCTCAATTATTTTAAAATTGAGCTACTTTTAGGATTACATTTTAAAAGATATTTATATTGTATTAAATCTTTTAATGTACATCAAAACTAAAGGCGAATCTATTGTGAATTTTCTTCATTTATTAGCTTATTTTCAATTATCTACAGGCAATATTCAGGCTCGTGTCCGGCGTTGGCGCACTCCAGGTGGGCCACGGATCTAGCGAATGTAAATGCTAGGGATCTTTGCCGGTTTCTAAGGAACTCGGACTGGTTCTATTGAGGGAGAGAGGGGAGATCCGGCGGCATCACAATGGGCCTTAGTGTCCTAGGTGTACCCTTCGGGGGGCCGTGCAACCTAACCTAACAGGCAATATTTAATACACATATTTCTATAGGCATAATAACCTAAACATATGTTTTTGGCTGTTACATACATTTTTTTACTCGTTAACATTTAATTTTGAAATTCATTATCCTTATAAGTACACATACGCTTTATACGCTTTATATTGCTAATTTTTATTTGAATTTTCTGTTGATTTTTCTGGTTTAAAACTAAACATTTTACAAATCCCTTAAACATGTAAAAGAGATAGTTTCAAACAAAAAAAAAATTAATTAATTCCAATATCCTAATGTCACTGAAACCCTATATTGTACATATTTCCTTCAGCAAGGATATTCTAATTTCCTCAAATGACAATTTATAATATTGTAAAGTCGCAATAAGGTGTGTACCCGAAATATATATAAGTATGTACGTTTTAAAATTTCATGAATGATTTAAAATTGTATATATATAATATATATAGCTGTGTACCTACCTATAATGTAGATATGTATTTACCATACAAGGTTAAGAATGTCCTTAAAGAGTAACCAAATAATACGCATAATATTTTTTAAAAGAGAAATCAAGCATTGAATTTTTGGGATACATTATAAATATGTACATATATATGTATGTATATATATACATATTTAATATTTTAATATAACGGGAAATTTATTTAATATATAATATAACGGTATACTATATGTATAGGAGGATATTTCCTCAAATGAACGGTCTGATATCGCCTCAAATATATTGACGGCGATATATTTTGTATACATAAGCATTTATTATTAAAAAAATTTTTTTTGTAAGGACTTCTTCTGTTTTTAGATTGCACTACATTAAATATATCGATCAAATAAATATATTTTATTTTAACGATATTTATGGCACTTTTATTAAAAAACAAAAATTTTTTTTTTAAAAGTATTAAGAAATTCTGCATAAAATGTACATATTTAACTATATCAGTATGTATAAATATAAATTATATGCATATGACAGTATGTATTAAATATTTAATGAATTTTAACACGAAAAAAAAACTTAAAAGTTTGAATACGTTTAAGTAAATAAATTTAAAAATATAATGGGTTGTATAGTATAAGTAGTACAGGGTTGTACTAAGGTACTTTTATTTTTAAAAAAAATTAACACAAATATGTTTCGAGAATTTCGATAAAGTAAATTTATTAAAAAGTGTAAATAAACGAAAACATAATCTACTTCATTAAATGAACCGAAACTCAAAGTTATCTCTCTTTTTTAGAAAAAAAAAACAATAGTTATATACGGCTTAGTTCCGACTTCGACATAAGTATATATGAGACGCTCAGCGTATTAGTAGGCTATCAAACATTTTTGCAAAAATGAGTTATTATGAACAATTCAAGTAACCTAAAGAATTGTTCTATTCTTTCAAATTACTTAGTTTACACTTCTTCTTAATCTATTTTAGCACAAGTTTATTGTTGCTTTTTAAAAATTTTCTTATAAAAATTAAATATTTAACAATTCAATCGCAATTTAATCGAAATATCATTTTTGCCAGTACAACTAATGTGCTAAGCGCCTCATATACAAAATTAGTGAATAAACTTCATTTTAATGTCGCGGAATAAAAGATTCAAGGTTTTTCTGAAATTAGGATTAGATTGTCAGAGTTGGAGTTAAAAATTTTAAACAATTTTTTACTTATCAAATATATATAAGTACTTAGTTAGAGCTGGAATCGAATTTATGAAATTTAAAAAAAGCTGAAGCTAAAGTTAAAATCAAAAAGTAATTTTCAAACCAAGTTTCACAACAACGATCTTGTTTGAGTTGGATCTATAAAAAAATAATATGATAGTGTACGATTTAACTTTTAGCTAATCCGGGCACATTTTAACCCCCTTCAAATGATAATTAATGATAATAATTTTTATTTTAATTAATTTTTTTTAATAATAATTAAAATTTTTGTGTATAAAATCTCGATTTTAAAAAAAAAAATTATGTATACTTATTACTAAAAAACTAATTGGAATTAAGATCAAAGAACAAATCTAAGGATGTGCCCCACTTTTACTTTTTATTTTGAATATCAACTTGTCCAAATTTTTTAAATTAAGAATAATCCTATACAATACCTACGTACATACTTACATACTTACATTTAAATACGCATATTTTAATGTAATCCTTTTGATTCTTACAAAAACAAAAAAAAAACTGATAAAATCATGAATAAATTTGAATAATCTTTTACTTTTTTCACATTATTTTTTTTTTTCTATTTATAGAATTTAAAGGATTATTAGCCTTAGTACTTAAAGAAGAAAAACATAAGAAAACTTAAAAGAAGAAAAATTTTCAAATTTTTTTTTTTGTTTTTGTAATTTTCTTGATAAATTTTCTTTTACATTTCAAAAACATATACAAAATTCAACGTCATTGCAATGATGTAGATTTCTAGATTTTCATTATTTGATATGCATAATACTTATAGGATTCCAAAAAAAAAAAAACAAAAAATTCTGTTTCAAAAGAAAAGGATCAAAAAAAAATAATTTTTACTTACGTTTTTGGATTTCAATGTGTAGATTAAATTTGTTGACCCAATTGGATTTGATTTTTCACTTTAATATTTTAATTTTAACAAAAATGAATTTTAAAAAATATTTTTAATTTTTCTTTTCAAATATTTTCAATGACTGTGTTTTTTTGTATAAAAATCTTATCGTTTATCAATAAATTATGAAATAGTTCAAACGAACAGTAAAAAATAAAGTTATTAAAAAATTGGAAGTCAAATTAAAAATTCTAAAATAAAATTTCTGTTTTTTTTTTCTTATTTATTTATACAAAGTTGCCACACACTATTCTCCCCTATGATATTTTTGTTTTTTTTTTGTAATTCAGTATGAATAACACCTGTGGGGTGTATTTTTTTTTTTTTGTATTCAAAAATGAAATTTCAAATATTATTTTGATTCCGCACTTCAAACTTTAAAATATGTAAGTGTGTATGTATATAATTAATAATACAAAAAAATAAACAATAAAATTTTCCAAAGTGCGTTTTAAAATTTCTGTTTTAATAAAAAAAACAAAATTCAATTGAAAATCAATTTGCAATAAAAAATTTTATTATTCTTAATAATAAAAGCACTTAATGTCACTAACACTGTTTTGTGTATTTTATACTTAAGCACATTAATAATTTATTCACCGGCCGGTTGAAATTCAATATCGAAATAAAAACAAAAATATATGAGTTTTGCTTTAAGAATCAAAAAAACAAATTCAATTGTAATAGAAGAATAAAAATACAAAAAAAAATATAAAAACACACTTTTTATGCAAGTTTTAATAAATACGTTTTTATAGCTGATTATTAAAGTTTTGCAATTTCAATATTGAAAAAAAAAACAAAATAAATGCTTAGATAAAATCGCTTGATATTATGAAAGAGAAACTTGTTTTTTTTTTTCTTGCTCTTAATGCACGTCTTTACAATGCAAAGTTTCGAATGAAACTGAAATGAAAATTTTGTTTTTCATATTATTTTGGTTCGTTTACTGTTATTCAAGTTAAATCAGCCAGCCAGCCAGTGTTGTTTGTGTATTGTTGTTGTTTTCTTCTGTTCAATTTAATATTGGAAATTTTTTTTTTTATTTTCGTTTGTATTTTGATTTTGGGTTCACTTTATTTCTGTTTTCGTTGTGGTTCTTTTTGTTTCTATTATTTTTTTTCTTGGTTTTTTCTTTACATTTCCATTTTGTTCGCTAATTCGTTATTCTTATATTTTCTTTTTATGAATTTTTACTTTTGTTTTGAGTATTTTTCTGGTATATAGTAGCAGGGTTGCCATTTCAATAGTGAGAATATTGCTGTTTGTCTATATCCTTAATTTTGAAAATAATATCTTTTTAACTGTTACAGAATTACAGACTGTTAATTTTCAAAAATGGTTGTCGAAAAAATTAAAAATTTTATTTGTTGAAAATTTTGTAAATTCCGTTGCCGGTTGAGAGAAAATTTCCTTATTTATTCAAAATTAATCATTTCTAACCCTGCTTAAAGTACTATATGCATAGAAAATGGGAATATACTATTCATTATGTTTAGTCAATATAAGATATTGACGCACTGCGATGATACCAAATTTTACATGCCAAGTTTTCAACAGGAATGCATTTCTTTGTGATAGAAAAATATAATAAATAATTTTAATCGAAATATCGGTCAATCTGTCTCATATATCTTAATTTCAAATAACTGACGAACTTTTCACGATAATCCGGTCACATGAAATGAACCTAAAATAAAACTTAAATTAAAAGCTAAATTTACATATTTCTAGGGGCTTATTGGAGACCTTAAAATTTGAAACAATCGTTTTGGCGATATTTTAGTACTTTCTGTTCACCAAACCAAAAAATATATTTTTTTGGTTGATTATGGGCTGGTCATATCAGATTTTTCTACATAATAGTGAGACGTTCTTATTTCATTAATATTTTTCCTAATATATAACTTTTTAAAACGGATATGGAAATTTTCTTTTCTTCCTATGGCAATCCTGCATGGTAATTGTTAGTAGCATTAATACTCTTTGTGCTTTTTACAATATGAAAATTTTATTAAAGAGAAATGAATAAAACAAAATTGATATGTATACATAATACATAACATATAGGAAAATGAGCTTATGTGCTATGAATTATGATGATGAGAATGAGATGAGAATTTGAGATGAAAAATATTACTAGAGAGATTTTAAGTTACCTAGCCAAATGATGCCTGCATATACATAATATATAAGTATAAACAAAACATCTAGGTATACAGGTACAGTATTATTACCTATATACGAGTAATAATGTAGAAAAAGGAAAATAAAGTAAAGAATAAAATGACTCTTTTCGACTTTTCCATTCCATTTCTCTTTCTCAAAATTTTAGCATGTATGTATGTATATACATATGCTATATATAAACGTATGTATGTATAATAATAATAATAAAGCCTGAATATAATTTATTTTTCCATGTTTCGTTTCAATTCAATTCATCAGATATCATTATTTCCATAAAACTCTTATATCAAAATATTATGCCACAAAAACTCAATGATAATCTTTTATGATTTTTTATTTAAAATAAATGATAAAAGAAACGTTTATATAGTAGTATTTTATAAATGTATAGATACTAATATAACTGTTATACATAATATACAAGTATATGTATGTGTATAACATTATTGTAAGAGAAGTATAATAACATAATTTTAATCTGTTATTATATTTTTAAACAATATTATATTTTCACTTAAAATTTGAGGTTCTCATGAGGATTTTACTTAAAAATTTATTTTATGATTGAGAAATTTGAGAAATTGAGGTATGTACTTTAAAAGTACCTTAACGAATACTATTATTTTATCATCTTACTTGATTTATGTGATCGGGCTTGGTTAATATAATATTATGTGTGATTATGACAGTTTTTTTGTGAGGCGTATTTATTCGGGAGCAAGGAAAAACACTGTACTGTTTAAGACAATATTTAAATATTTAAATTTTAACGTAAGTATTTACGAAAACAACTCATAAGCTAAATTGTATTTTAATACTGTATAGTGTAGTTACACTGATAACTAATAATAACATGTATTATAAATTCGAGTCATTGCAGCTTTTGCATAATTCAACAGATTTGCAGTTCCTGGATATTACAAACTTATATCTAGGTGACTTTATTCGAAGGATTACTGTACATACTAATTCTTGCATATCATAATTTTTGTATATTTTATGTGCGCATTAATATATACACAGTATGTTATAATAGAGTTTATAATATAGGTAGATTTGGGTACCCAAAAGAAAATGGTAAAGAAAATAACCGATATGAAAACAAAAATATTAAAAAACGTGGTTACTTATTCAAATTTGATAAAATAAATACTTAACGACAAAGAAGTATTTAAAAAGGGGAAATCAATTTTTTTTTTTCGTACAACAACATTTTATTTTTTTTTTTGCAGAGAAAAAGAGAATAGTTCTTGAAATTTGTACATACTTTTGAAAACCAAATGAAATAAATAATTTTTTCATTCAATTCCATTTTTTTGGAAAATATTGAGTGCGTGAACTAAGTGAAAATTGAAATTGGTTACATGCATTTACTCTTCATATAAACATTTACCGTCTCCCAAAATTTAGATTTAATATAAACTTGTAAATGGAATTAATTTTAGAATTGCGCTTAAGTTCTTGTCCAATATTCTGTATTATTTTTTTTCTTGCTTAATTTCCCATCTTATTATTTTAGTTCCTAAAATGGACATTACAATTACGTTAGTGCTTTTTTGTAATTTTTAGTTTAAGATTTTTTTTTTTTTTTTTTTTATATCTACTATTTATTGCAACTAAGTCCATTCAACCTAACAAGCAACTTTATTTTAACTTTTAAGTAGCGTTGTGGGGACATACTATCCAGTGATAGCCGTCCAGTATTATTAGTTGTATTCTTTCAGTCTCATATCACAATTGATCAAGAGGTCTCCTCCTTTGCAGGCGGCGGGCTGTGTTGTTTCTAAGTAGCTTATTTATCTCACTATTAGTATGTTGCTGTACTTTAGATTTATGTTTAGTTGATTGCTTTTTGATTTCTTCTTCTACTGTAGTAATTTTTAAATCTCTATGAATCGTATCGTTTCTCACGTACCAAGGCGCATTCACAATATTACGAAGAACCTTATTTTGGATAGTTTGAATTATTTGTATATTTGTTTTTTTGGCGCATCCCCAAAGCTGAATTCCATACGTCCATATGGGCTTAATTATTTGTTTATAAATCAATAATTTGTTGTAAATATTCAATTCAGAATTTTTACCAATCAGCCATTGCATTTTCCTTAACTTTATATTAATTTCTTCTTTTTTCTTTTTAATATGCTCCTTCCAACGTAGTTTCACGTCTAGAGTCATACCCAAGTACTTTGCCTCATTTGCAAACGGCACCACTTTATTATTTAAATTTATTTCGATGGGATTGATAGTTCTGTTGGTAAAATTTATGTGTGCTGATTTATTTTCATTTATTTTGATTCGCCATTTTTTCATCCAACGATTTATTTCATTTAGAGACCTTTGAACTTTTTCCGTACTTTCTTTTATGCATTTATCTCTAGCTTTAGTTTAAGATAAAACAAAAAAAGATAAAACAAATATCATTTTAATTTTTTAATAGTTGATTATAAAAGGAAAAAAAAAGATGTTTAGAGGTTAATTAAAAAATTCTGATCTTCTTGTGTAAACGTTCCTATGAAAAGGACTATCTGATATACATATATAACTGTTAATTTTAAATTTTCTTTATTACTTGTCCAATTTATGATTATTTGGTCCAATTCAATTCAAATTTATAAGTTTCATAATATAAATATTTACAAAAGATGATGTAAATTTTGATTTTGCGGTCACAATCACAATATTTAATTAGTATCCGCAAATAATTCCTTTTTACATAAATTATATTAAAAATTATCGCCCGCGGTAATGCTTTCTTAATTTATGCTTGCACATTTATTATTAACTTCGAACATAAGTTAATTTTTAATGTAAATCAAATATATACATAATTTGATTTGTGATTTATAATTAATTTACAAAATATTTTAATTATTTATAATTTTATCATTTTCTATTACAATCTGCACTAAAGCTCTTTTTTCTGATTTCAGTGTTATGTTCATATTGTGACGGATAGGAGTTGAATGCAAAATTTCAAACTTGTATCACTCTACACCTTAAACGCTTCTTAATTTTTTTTACATTGAATAATGAATGAGAAAACAATATTGAAATCAACTTAAATTTTTGTTTCTCTACTTTATTGGCATCTTTTTAAAAGAAAAATTTTTGATTTATGTATATTACTTTTTATACGTAATATAGTTTTGAAACATCAATAAACCAACAAAAGTTTTTTGAATTTTTCACTTTTCAAAAAACTAATAATTTCTTTTAAGATGTCCTTGTATGGTTAATAAAAAAAAACTTGATTTACTCTTTTGGTTCCGTTGTACTTTTCTTTTTTACATGGGCGCATCTGTTTTTAATCAATAATTGCCGGTTTCCATTAGGCCCCCATTTTAGTTTTAATGTTTATTTTACATTAAAATACAATCATCCTTAATTTTCAAGTTGTAGAAACTTAAGAAAAATCAAATTTTCATATATATATATATATTTACGTCATAATATCTACATATTATATTATGTACACACGCATATTTTTACTTAAGAGAGAAGTTAAGATCCTAATAGGGTGGTCCTGTTTTTTACACAAATTTTTTTCAATAGGATATCAATAGGATTTTTTCAATTTGATATGTAATTTTCAATTCATCAGATTATATTTTTGACCCTTATATTATTACTTCCAATTGAATTTTCGGTTTTTTTAAAGTGATCTTATCAGCTGAAGAATAATTGAATAAATGGTGGCTAAATTTAGTATGGATTTTGGAAAATAGGAGATACGAGATACAAGAAAATTTCTCAATCGATGCGAATATCTTCTCAGTTTTTCTCAACAAATATCTTCTCAGTTAGCGAGTAAAAAAGCGAGATACACGATCGCATCCTACTTGTACATCATTTCTTTTTTTTTTTGCTTTAATTAAGTTTTTTTATCTTTAATTTTTAGGCTACTCATACCTACCGTATCGAACGAAAGCAGTAGGTAACTACTTTGTGTTTAAGATACATTATTTGCTGTGAGATACTGAAGAAGAACAAAGAACATTACTTTTTGTAAGATAATTGTGATTGGAATTATATTAAAATTATGACATTCATATGTACATTATAAGTATCAAATATTCCTTTAAACTATAATTTTTTGTTAAATTTGATTGTGAATAAGACTTTATAACAAAAAAAAAAAATACTATTAAATAAAAAATTACCTTTTGAAATTGATAAATATTAGGTGAAATTGATAATTAGGTTTACAATTTTTCTTTCCAACAATAAATTTTTGTTATCTACAAAATTTAAAACAATTTAAAAAAAATACAAGCAAAATTTTTCATTTTGAGAATAACCATACTCTTTTTTTAATCTTCAATATTAAGATACCTTATTAAAATTCTATTATCTATTCAAAAAGAAAATTTGAAATTTCGATGTAATACCTAAAATGAATCATTAATAAATGCTTAACATGTGCTTCATTCAAAATGAATAATTTAAATTATTTCAATTTTTCGTTTATGCTTTACATCTAGTTATTTTTCTTTCTTTTCAATTGTTAAAGAATTATACAATCTATTAAGTTCATTCGCTACTAAATTAGATAGAATTACACCGTTGCTGTCAATAAATGAAGCACAGGATTTTGTTGTAGTTGCTTCTCTTATAGATTTTGAATCTTGCACTGTTAACACCAATGTATATTTGTCATCGTATTTTTTCATATCAGAGCTAGCCTGCCATGTTCTTGTAGTTTTACCGTCTGGATCAGTTTGTATTGCAATCGCAAAAATTCCCTTTTCTCCAAATGTAGTGTATATTGTTAAAATACCCATTAGTATAAAATATGTTGTAACGCACATCACTAGAACCGGTTTCGATTCCGGAAAAGGATTTTGGTGATCCCATCCTAATGCGATAAGTGCAACAGTAACTGCGAAAGCACATATTCCTAAACGTATATCAATTAAACCGAAGTGTTCTTTGCAATTCGGACGATCTAAAAGCGCACTTTTTACAGCATCATCAAGAGCATGCTTCACTGCTGAACCATCCCATTTGTTGATTTTTAGAACCTAAAAATAAAAAAAAAAAATTGTTCAATCAAAAATGCTGAAACAAAAACAGAAAAATTGTGTCAACTTAATTGATTATATCGAATTATATTAACGAATTTCTTAAATTTAATTATTATATTCAAATCGCCAGCTAAGCAAAAGATTGACGTGTCTTTCCGAAATACAAATGCTTCTAAAAAAAATAACACAACTATAAAAATTCAATTATACCTCGTCTACGGGTTGCTTTTCTTTTTGTGGTTTTTCCTCTTTCTTCGGTTTGGCAGACATTATTTAAACGAGATTGTTCAATTCGAAAACAAAATATTTGAAAGACTTTACAAGTCGTATTACAAACTTTAAAAATACTAAAAATTAAGACAGCAACGATTTAATTTTAATATGCCATGCAGGGTTGGCGTACTGCTAATTTGACAGTTAACAATCAACCATTTGTATCAGATTATTTTATAGTTGTTTCCTTGATAAACATGAGCAAAATAAAATACATTTGGTTAGACATACCAACTACATTATCATTTTAATGTGTGACGTCATCAGACAGAAATTTCTTTCGATGTGTGAGGAGAAATAAAAGAAGTTGTTTATATCATTTCATAAAAATATTTCCCCAAAAACGTCATATTCGTTAAAAACTACGACTGTCAGCAATTTTTTAATAGACCATGAAATGTTATAGTCATGAAAATTGGAAGCAGTATGTTAAAAAATTTAATAAATAAAAATTAAAAAAGTAATGTGATATCATGTCAAAACCTTTAATGGACCTTAAAATTAATAAGCTGAAAGTGTAAGAAATCTTTTTAGAATTTTTTTTATATGGTCGAGAATACCACAAAGCTTTATAAACGATCGAGATAAAAAATCAGCTGATTGTCACCAATTAAACTTCAACTGAGCTATTTTCTAATTTTTGTCTCTCAAATAGACTTTATATATGTTTGCGCGCATAAAAGTCCCATTAACTGTTAACAGATGTCCAAAAACTATATTTTGATATAATTAAAAGCTATTGTTGTTTTTAAGGTCCACGCTGTATAAACAAAAAGACGGTTTAACATTCGTTATTTGATAGTTTACAATTTTCACACTGCAGCTCCAGATCGAAGGAAACGGCGAATTTACGTATTCATTTTCTCAACTCACCCTTGTGGTGATGAGAAAAACAATTTAATCAAGATTGCCGTTTAGAAATATTTTTGTAGAATAAGAATATGTACTTTTTTATGAGTGGAAGATTGTAAGAGTTTATCACAATTAATTTGGTTTATTTCAACGAATTAGAAATACTAAAGGAAGGAGCATCTTTATTTCTATCTCACTTACACTCGCTTAAAAATCGGATTTTGAAAAAAAAAACATAGAGAAGCCCAACGAATTCGAAATACTAAAGAAGCATCTTGAAAAAACAATGAAGCCAAATTTTTTCTATATATCTCTTTTTTTGCTCCGAGCATTATCGAAGTCGTAACAGGAGCGTATTTATTTTATTTTCTTGTCTGGGCTCTTATATTAAATATGTGTAATTAGTAAGAATGATAAGTTGAAATTTTTTTTTTGAAGTAAAAACTAAAAAATATTTCAAAATATTTTTTCATTTTAGATATCTAAAAAAAAAAACCAAATTTAAACAAAAATTTTCTCTTTGAATAAATTTATTTTATAAATTTAAAATATATGTAAGTCCTTTAGTATTCCTAATTTGTTGGTTTATTTTGTAGCAATTTTTTGTATAACATTTCTTTTCATTCATTTTTTTCTGACAATGATGACAGTGACCGTTATTTAGAATATAATTTCTTTTCATAATATAACGTAAAATTCATATAATTGATATTTTGATTTGGAACTGAAATTTAACTATCCTCTTGAATTCCACAAAATTCAAGAATCTAAACTGTACCATATATGTATATTTATAATATTGCAATTTCCTAACTGCCCTCTGACTTATTCCTCAATTTTTGTGGCCTGAAAAGCAACTAAATAACATAAAAATGATAGAAACAAATAAGGTTTTTTATTTTTCATATTTTGCTTAAATCTCATTATAAAATTTTTAGAAAAGAAATTACATGCATACACAAATGAATACATGCATATATGTATATAACGTATCTATTATAATAAATAACAAACTTATATAAATTAATCTTCAAACTAATATTGTATTTTAGTGAAATATACAAATTTTCAATTTCAAAACTTTCTATATCATAAAACCTAATTTTAGAGATTTGGTAATTTCTTATATAATATTCTAATAAAACCATTTTCATAGCCGAAAGTATAAAAATTTGAACCATGGAAATTTGAATTACATGCTACTGAGTTTATGCGAACGTAGTAATCGAGGTTGATTAGAGGATTTCGTTCTTCTGTATTATAAATTTTATCTTGCTTCTTACTCTAAAAATGAAATCAAAAGTAATTAAAAATTATGCAAAAGAAACATTTTATCTTACAAAATTTAAAGGGCCAAAGACCAAACCATATTTAATTTTGTAATCTTTGTCAAAAAACTTCAGAGGTTCTACGTTTTCTTCATTTGAAGTAGGCAATTTTGGGTCATCGTTCTTTATTTTATTTCCCTTTTTATTATTTTTAGATAACTCCCCAGTTGTTAGATGATTATTACCGTCGAGTCTGATTAAATCAGTATATGTTACTATTTTCGCATGCACATATCGTTTTAATGTGCAATCTAAATTATACTCAGTTCTGAATTCCATTGTAAAATCTCCATTTTCAGCTCCAATTACGCAAATATTATTCCATGGATTATAATCCAGACATGTAATACCACTGGGAATATAAGCAAATCTTTTGCGTGTAAAAAGTAATTGCATTGGACTCATTGCTATTGGTCCAGCTATACATAAATCACTGCTGGAAGCAAAAACAATATTTTCCCAAACAATTGGCCAAGTAAATGATGTTAAAAAACTTTTTGAAATGTCTTCAAAAACAACAGTTGGATTTGATGGATTTTCAATGTCCAATATTTTCAGGATTCTGCTATATGATCCGGCTGATAACCATCGTGCTTCTTTGAAATCGTAATGAAAATCTAAACCTAAAGAAAAAAAGCATGTCAAAAATTTGTTCAAATATTTACATTTCACTAACATGTTATATGTTTTTCACTGACTCTAAGGAAGCTAATAGGCGAAAATTGTAACATTTGATTTTCTGTTTCACTTTGAGAGCAATTTAAATTGTCTTCTGGATTGATATCAAATAAAGCTACACAACCATTAGCATAGCCAGTCGCAAGAATGTTATGCCCTTTGGCCTAAAATAAAAAGTTTTTTTGCAACTTAAGTTTTAAAAAATATTTATTTGATATTATCAAAACTTATGCCCATTAAAATTACCTTTGACCATGCAATTTTGCAACATTGCACAAAGTAGTGATTTTTTTTTTGTAATATTTCGTCATATTCATCAAAATTGAAGTTCATTGTCAGTTTTATTACTGGTTCCAAAAATATTAGTTTAATATTATCATTTAATGTGCAATATAAATTTTGTGGTACTTCTATTGGTAAAGAATATATTACAGCATCATTTTTAGCACTTGCCACCGCTAATAAACCTAAGCGGTTTATGTCAAGATTATATCCACCACTAGGTAAAAATTTCATATCATGCACTGGACCGTCATCAAGAGTTATACCATATTCAAATGAGAAGTTAGGTGAATCAGATTGTGAAGCAAAAACTTCACCAAAACTTTTTTCAAATATTTCTAATTTAAAGATGAGTATTAAAGTTTTATGAGATTTTTGGTTTATGACCCTAGTGTACTTATTATAATTAGATTTAAAACTTATAGCTAAGTATTGTGACTTTTGTGAAACTGAATCTGGTAAAGGCACCCATTCTAATGCGGTTATAGGACCACCGATGTACAATAAAATTTCGTCTAAAATGATTTTGAAGATTTTTAAAATTTTTTTTTTCAAGTATATAATTTCATATATAAGTACATATATGTGAGTATCCCACAATACATAATTTATAGCTTTAAATAGTTTATAAAATGATGTTACCTTAACATAAAATTACAATTCAAGCTTTAAAAACACATCGTGAGATTAAGTAGAAAATTTGTATATGTTACCTCTATTTTTTATCCATTTGAAGGATTCTAGTTCTAGAAGTTCAGAACATTTAGAACTACCAAAACGTTTGTTCATTTGCATTTTTGAAAAAGAAAATTTCATTGATACATTATTGACCGGCTGGTATTCCTTAGATATGATATTATCAGTAGAAATGCAAATTGGTAGAAAATTTGGGAATAAAACATCTGAAGTATAATTATGTTTGAAACTGTAAGTGAATAATGTTCATAAGTAACTAATTATTATTATAGTTATACATCTTACAAAAATTTGCTCGAATCTCGAACTTTGTTTGATATCTCTCTAAAAGGATATCGATCAGATGGTAACACTAAAATTAAAATAATTAAAAAAAATTATATTATATTTTTAACAAAAGTATTATAATTATCCTACAACTTCTTGCTCTGCTAGTGCTTGGAAATATTTGGAGACGTTTGACATAATGCTCATTTGACTTTTTTGGTTTCTTCTTCCTGTTGCATTCTTCGTCAGAAATGTTGCTTTTCTCTTCTTCAGTAGAAACTTCATTTTCATCAACACCAGACGAACATTCTTCAGATGATTGCGACAAATCTTTTTTGGAAAATTCGATTTCAGAATCACTGTTCAAGTCTTTCAAATTTTTTAAACTTTTTTCATGCTCTTTGTGAACATGTGTTTTCACTATTTCTGCATTAGTATCAGTAAATTTACAGAGCGAGCACTTAAAAGCTATTCTCAAAATTTTGTTACAATCTTTTATATGTGCTTTTAATGAAATTAAATCACTAAAATTTTCTTCGCAATTTTCGGCACAACATTTCACTGTCATGCCAGCATCTAGTTTTCTTTTCCAAGATCGGTGAATTCCGCCGCGTGTAGCATGAACTGTTTTTATATAGTTGGAAGCATCAAACTTTATGTCATTTTCGATTGCTTTTAATTTATTTTCTGCTTTAACTGTGGATTTTCTTTTAAATCTTCCTGTATTACTAAGAACCTCAGTATTTTCTGAAATTTTTGCTTCATCTTTTGTTGGCTCATTTTGTTTCAATAAACAATTTTTTACGTGGGAATTAAAGGTCACATAGTGAATGTGTTTTTTACAGATCTCGCAAGCCAAATGCGTTTTACTAAACCTTTCTTCTTTTTCAAGACCACATGATACAATGTGCGATAGAACTCCTAATGCAGATTTGAATTCAGTTTGGCACATTCGACATTTAAATGATTTGATATTAGTGACCCTCATAAAATTTATCATAAAATTTAAAACAGTGTTATACTGTGTAACATCCTAAATTGGGAAAGTTAAAGTTTTTTATTGTTAGAGACAAAAATTAGATAAGATACTCACAATGCTTTCTTCACCGACAATCCAACCAACACCATAATGTGATTGCAAGTGATCCGACCATGCTGAAGCTTTTTTTAATACTGTTTCATTGCAGAGTCCACAAATAACTTCGTTTTCAAGTTTTGTATCTTCAGCTATATTCTTAATTTTAAAATTATCTATATCACAGCGCTTATCAATTAATAATAAATTAGGATGCAATTTTCTTAATAAACTACTATTTTCTGCCACTTGGGCTTTACGACGAGCTGGAGTAACAGGTATTAACTGATTGTAAAATTTTTCAAATGCACCAACTTTCTGCAGGTGTGAAAACGGTTCAGATATATTTACTTCTGTTTGTTCTTTTTTTCGGCTTCGTTTTTTCTTTTCAGTGTTAGATTCTCCTGTTGTTTTTTTATCGATTTTCTTATTGCCTAATGTATTATTAAGATTTAATTCTTTCTTTATCTCATCTTGTATAACCTGGCTATTAGCGTTTGATTTATCAACTTTTTTATTTTTCTTTTTTTTTATCGTATCATTAACTTGTAATGTTTTATTTTGAACATCTTGTTGAATCAGAATACTATCGTTAGCATTACAGTCATCCAATTTTTCATTTTTTTTCTTTTTAAACGTACCGCTTATACTTAATTCTTTATATTGATCATGCTGCTTAATCTGAACGTTATCATTAGACACATTCATTTTTCTATTTTTCTTCTTTTTTAACGAATCAATCCCAGTATTATCCAAATGTTTTAATTTTTCTTCAATAAATTTTTTAGGAATGCCATTATGCATTAAATTACTATGAGAAGTATTTATATTCTCTAATGCATTCAATTCGAAAGTTTCGAAATTATTAATTTTTTTTTCTTTTATTGAAGTATTTATTGTTACTTCAGTTTTTGTGCTGGTTTCTTCAATTTTATTTGTATTGGAATGTATTTCGCATAGTCCACTCGTTTCTGAAACATTTTTCGCTTTTTTATTTTCTAGACTTTCGGAAATCTGACTTGTTTCTTCACATTTCTTATCATTTCCTTTTAATAATGCATTTCTTTCACCTGTTTTTAAAGTGTTGTTATTTTCAAATTCATTTTGAATATTAGAAAAATCTGATATAGAATGTTGATGATCACTAGTTGTCGAATTTTCACTATCTTTCCTAGATGAAAAATAATTTCGTTTATCTAAAATTCTTATTCTATTTTCTTTTTTTGATTGTTCAGTTTCAGAAGCTGAACTATTTGAAAACATATTTCCTATACGTATTGGTCGTTTTTTTAAAGGAACGCAGTCATTTTCGTCTGGACTATCCGTATCTGAAGTTAACGCTTTTTCAAATTTTCTTTTTGAATTTTGTAATATTTTTGAAATTTTCCTTTTACGTTCAGGTGGATTAATTAATTCAGGTTTTATAGTGGATCCAAATGTAATAGTTTCATTATTTGTTTCTTGTTCAATAGCCATATTGCGAGAATTTTGTAAAAAATTTTTAAAACAAATGTTTTGTTCACTATCTGAGCCTGTATTAATTTTGTGATTTAAATTTTCAGAAAATTTTGAAGGTAATTCTGAAAAAATGGCGCTTGTTATACTCTCAGCATTTCCAATTTCCCTTTTGACTGCAGAACAAGCTGTGCTTTCCATTATGGAATACTTACTAGGCTCGGACTCAATCAATTTGTTGGCTATTTGATCGATTGCACTATTATAGAGCTGGGAAATCAAGTAGTCTTCCTGTTTTACCAAACTTAAATCAAATCCATTAAAAACAGAAGTGCTTATGTTGCTCTCTAAAAAGGAAAAATTTATATTAAACCCATTGTAGTGAACACTTAACAGCTACGTAAATTTTTATATTCATTTTTATATAGAAATTTGCTTAACAATGCCATTACAAGTGTTTATTTTATTTAAAAGAAGAATAAATTCTTTAATGGATGAAGATATTAAAATGCGGTAGAATTCAATTAATGGATGAATATAAAAAAATGAATTGGTTTAATATTTTTACTAATGCAATGAATTAATCCTAAAACGGTTTTTTTACCATCTCGAAAAATAACATACTTTAAAAAAGTAATTTAAAATTAATAAATAAAGGAAAATTTTCCTTGAAAATTTAAGCATTAGTGTTAAATCAACAAAAAACTATAACAATGCCAATAAAAAATTTAGGGAAAAGTACGTGCGCTGTAAATAAAATTGGAACACTCAAAAAGTCATTAATTCCACTTACCATTTGAATCGTCTCCTTTAAACATTTCTGCGTCGCACGATTTTTGTTCACTAGTAGTAACGAAGCTTTCACTTTTTGTTGGATTTGAGTTGACAGTTTCAGAACTGAAAATTTCTGCTTCGCAAATAGATGAATTTGTTTCTGCTATACATGCGTCTTTTGAAAACGTAGAACTGTTTTCATGGTGTTGGTTATTGTAAATATTTTGCCCAATATCATTTTTGTTTTTGTCAGAAGATATTTTAGTATCATGTTCAGTATTGTCAGTGGGATCATTATCACTCCCTTCATGCAATTTTTCAACTTTTGACTTATTAAAATTGTTTGCTTCATTAGTTAGTTTAATTTTTTTTGTGTGATGAGGACTAATTGCTGGATTTTCAATATTTTCTGGTCTTTTTGATAAATTAGAATTTTCATTTTTTACTGCAGGAGTTTTCTTTCTTTCAACTAAATTTATTTTACTACCACGCAAGCGGGGCCTCCTGCTACTAATGGGAATAGCTTTTGGTTTCATTGATTTTTCTTTAGCATCGCAATTCAAGTTATTTGAATTCGTTGCCGTTTGTGTGGTAGTAATAATTTCTTCTTCAAAATAAGGAACTTCATCTTGCATTAGAGCTATGTTATCTGAAATGTTATTTGTTTTACCAGTTATTGAATTGCAACTTGATTGAGTTGCATTAATCTTATCATTTGCACAAGCAGTAATATCACTACTATTTTCTTTGATTTCCTTCGAAAGAGAAATATCGTGCATTAGAGCTATGTTATCAGAAATATTATTTGTTTTGCCAGTTATTGGGTTGCAATTTGATTGAATTGCATTGATTTTATCATCTGCAGAACCAGTAATATTACAACTATTTTCTTTGATTTCTTTCGAAAGAGAAATATCATGCATTAGAGCTATGTTATCTGAAATGTTGTTTGTTTTACCAGTAATTGGGTTGCGATTTGATTGAGTTGCATTGTTGTTATGTTCACAATTATTTTTTTCGGTTATTTTCGAAGGAATTTCACTATTTTCTAAAACTTTTTCGTGTTCTACTCTTATGAGGTTGCGTTTATTTAAATATTCCTCGTCAGATGGATGTTCCAAGATATCTGCATATTCCAATTCTTTAAATTCGCTCAATTCTGTTACAATGCAGTTTGATTCAGAGTTTTTCATTTCGATGTCATTATTTACGTCAGATTGTTCCTCAGAATGAGACTCTTGTGTTAAAGTTTCTAAATGATTATCATTATGATTGCCATCAAATATGGTTGTCACAGAACTACAATTGTTTACAATTTCATCTATTTGAACAACATTTCCTAAGCAAAGATCTAAATTGACTTTTTCACTTTCAGCCAAAATTTTGTTTTCAATAACAATAGGAGCTAATCTTGGTGAAACAGTTTCCTCTTCAAAATGTTTTTCGCATGAACCCGTAGAAGGAAATTCTGGAATGGTTCCACTTTTTTCTTTTATTTGCGTAAAAGATTGTGAAATATTCTGTAAAAAGTCCTCAGGTTTCAATATTTCTACTTCGTCAATAGTAGAACTTGTATCTGAGACATCATCATCTTCATTTTTGATAAAATCATTTTGGAGATTGCACAAGAAGTCAACAGCATCTACTGAAGTTTCTTGGTTAAATGTCATCACTGTATCCGAAGTATCTAAATGGTATTTAATCGGTGAATCTAAATCATTTGTATTATGAATTTTTTCGCTATTTGTAAAATTTTGTTTCCAAATAGAATTTGTATCAATATTTTGAACTGATTTAGGCGAATACCCAATTGACTTCTTTTGAAAAATTTTATTTGAATCTAAATCTTGAATTAATTTTGGCGAATAACTGCTTGAGCTACAGCGTTCTGGTGAGGCATCAATATAGGGTAGACAAACAATATTTTGGTCATTATCATTCGTTATGTCCTGCAGATTGACATCAAAATTTTCCTCACTTTTTATGAATGAGTCATTAGGATTTCTTTGCTCTTCAATTTCACTTATCAAAAATATTTCCTGGAAACTTAAATCATCCAATTTTTGCTTTGGTGGATTTTCTGGTGATTTAAATATCGAGTTCTTTTCTAATTGTGTTTTGATAAAATTGTGAGCTATTGTTGTTTTTTCTTCAATTGAATTTTCTTTTTTTGTATATTCCGATTTCTTCGTATCATTCTTTAAATGCTTTTTATTTAAGATGTGTGCCCTATAATTATCGACTTCTTCTCCTTGAATATTTATTGAAGCTTTTTGAATTTTAATTTCAGGTATTCCGTAATGCATACCTTTTGAACTTTTCAATGCATATATATCTGGTGTGTAATTAAATGGATTTTGCATTTTCTGCGAGCCATAATTACTTTTTTCTAAATTTAAATTACTTGTGTTAGTTTCTTCATTTGTTGAATATTTTTTGTTGTTTTTATTTTTTTTGCTATTATAATCTTTAAAATTGAGATTGATGATTTTATTCCTACACTTTATTTGATCAAATTTATTTTTATAATCTGGATTAATTCCCAACTGCTTAGATTCCTGTTCAGTTTCAGTACCATATTCTAAACAACGTTTGAAATCGTCCGTTTTAATTTTTTCCTTACGGGGAGCTTTTAAAAGTTGTTCGCTAGTACTTTGAAAAAGATTATTAAGTAAAATTTCATTTCCCAAATAAGGAGACTTGTTGATATCTTTTGGGCTTTCAAAATTGAAATTAATTGAATAATCCACATTCTGTCCTGCGCTAACTGAGTCCAAATTCAAAACGTAATTGTTCTTATTTCCTGAGTTTAAATCGACTTTATCTGCGTTGCTGGTAAAATTCTTTGACGGCACCTTATCGGAATATTTTTTATTTAGTATTTTAGAATTTTGTAATTTATGTTCATCTATTTTTTTTCTGCTAAAATTTAATTTTTCCGGCTGATTTTTATTTGGAAAATCTTCTAATTTAGTGATACAAGTTTCAACTGCGCTTTTTGAGGTTTTAGTGAAAGTTTTATTATCACTTTTTGAATTGTTTTTGTGCAAAATTGATGTTCTCAATGTTTCTTTAACTAAATTCGGGAGCAGTTTTGGCTTATCTTTCCTAACGTCAGGGTAAATAATATTCATTCGTTTTGTGGATGGTAGAGCATCATCAGCTTAAAAAACAATAAAAAAAATATATATTTTTAAATAGAAATGAATGTTATTTAAATGACCACAAAAAAAAAGTTGCAGAATTTGGATTCGAACCCAGACATTAGTAATTTCAAAATAGCACTTTGAAACAATCATGCTACTCTACATACCCATTACAAAAACCAGTGGAAAAAGTAATTCATAATGACAAGAATAAAATATCTTCAAACAAAAAAAAATTAAAGACAGTATATTTCGCAATTTCAAAAATTTAACAATGAAAAAAATAATTTTTCTACTCGTATTATAATTGTAAGTTAAAATTTTATCTTACGATTTCTAATAAGCAATAAGTGGTTAATGGCTTTTTGTTTTGCTTATTTGTTTCTCTTCAATGGATCAAACTAAGTAATAATTATAAATACATTTTTCAATCTCACCTTGCAGTTTGTTTACAGCATTTTTTATTTGTTCTTTTATTTTTTGAGAACTGAAAACTTCCTTTAAGTTTTTAAGAATATCAGGATTGGTTTCCAATTTTATGACTGGTTTAATAGCAGTAATTTTCTTACTAGATCTGGGTACATTGATATTTATATTATCATTATTTCTATCCATATTTGTTTCTTGTTTCTTGTACTATGGAATTTTTTTTATACTTTCGTAACTGCTTCAATTAACTTAAAACGTGGAGCTACTATACATTAGCATTAAAATGTATATTTTATATTAAAGCTTAATTTTCAAACCACTTCGTAAGTAGTTTTATATATATTTTTTCAAATTTTTAACAAGCTTTTGGAATTATTTACAACACTATTATTTTCACAATTAATTAATTTATTACAATATAAAATTATTTTACAATTGCCTTTTCTCAGCCAGTCAGTAATCAATTCAACCACACCGAAATACTTCAAAAATAAAACTTCAAAGAATAATATGACAAGATAGCTGAGTTATTTGACGTTTTTGCCATCAAATAAAATAATGCGTCAATGCAAGAAAATTTTAGGATTGAATTGCTGAATTTTGTACTTCATGAATTATGTGAAATATAAGCTACGTTGATACACGCTTTTTCAAAATTGGGTAATTCACACTCAATAATGCTGGTTAGCAACTATTCAACTTGGTCCTTGGATTGAATCGTTAGTGGACTAGTTGATCAACCATTTGGTGGTTGAAACTTGGTTAAAAAATATATTAAAAAATTTTAGCTTTTGTAAAAAATGTTTATCAACGTGTTAAAGAACCTAGCTGAATAGGGTATAGCTAACATAATGTAGAGAAAGACGCGTTGTTCTTATTTTAAACTGACTTATATCATTCGAACAAATTTCTCTCTTGTGGGTTAATTGGACTGTGCGAAATAAGGCTTCGTAATTTTTTTTTAAATTTATTTAACTGTTTTGTAACAAAATTCGTATTTAGTTCCGAATGATCAATGTATTAATGAAATATTACCACTTTAAAAGAATGGCTAAATTAGTAACAAACGCTTGAAATTTCAATTAATATATAATATGCATTTATTAATCATTTTGGAAGCGCTATTTGGTCTTGGATCGGTTTCAGATTGGTTATAGGAATAAAATAGGAAAAATAAAATTTAAGGATTGCTAAACGAATTTGTACTTACGGCGAAAAATATATAAAAACAAATTCACTTAATTGACTGAAATTTAATTGTGAAAGTTGAAAATGAAATGTGTATGCAAAAAAAAATTATTTGGTCAAAGATGACGAAGATGGTGGTGTATACCATATATTGTCAGCTGCACTGGGTGCTGGTGTTACTTAGCCAATATGAGGGGTAACTCTCAAACATTTAGTTAGTTTATTTTCTATAATATGCCTTCATTCACAAAATCTAGGTAAACATACCCAAAAAGCTTATGCAATAAAAACAAAATTTTTTGTGCTCAAATGTTGCGCGTCGGTAAAAACAAAAACGGCAGCACTAAAGTAACAACAACGCACAAACTGCTAAAGCTTTTTGTGGTTCGTCGCTTTGAAGCACTGAAATGGAATCCATTGCATTTATCTCTAAGAAGAGAAGGGATATACATCTTTTTTAGAGTGTATTTTGTTAAGAAAAAAAACTTATTGGAAAAATTTGAAGTTTTTTCTTTGGAGATTAATATTTAGAAAATATGAAATTCACAAAACAATTATATATTATATAGAAAAGGTAAAGTAATGGCTAATACATCATTTATTTTTCGAGTGAATGCAAATTGTAGTAATATTGGCAAGTTCGGCAAATAAACGCTTCGTTTGCATTTTTTTTCTAATTAATAGAGTTTTTGTGATTTCTTTGCAAAGTTTTAATATATTTTTCGTATTATTTAACATCATTCATAATTCTATTGGCTTAACCTTTTTAAAAAGTTATTAAAAAAAATTGCCAAACTTTAATATCATTTGTAGCGTTGCACTGTCAAATTGATTTTGAAATGTTTATTTTTTTCAATTGTAGGTTTATAAAGTTAAGCAAGTAAATAAATAAAAGGAATATGAGCTCGTCTGGTGGTGCCGGTTCTGGGACCTCGGACAATACTTCTGTAATTAGTGGTTCAGTTAGTGGTACTTCTGGTGATAAGCAAACTCAACAAATACTTCAAAAATCTCTAGGTGGGGGTACAACAACGTTTCCCATAAATTTGGCAGCAAATAAAATTGGACATGTTAAGCCTGCCACTATAGATACTATAAAAGTAGCTACGCCTATTCAAACTGGATTATCTGGTAGTGGACAAATGCAGCAAACTTCGTATAGACCTGTAACTACACGTGTTGTAATGCCAACTGGGACTATAGTACCTGGTACAATGATAAAACAAATAAACGCTGCACAGGTTGACAACACGGGTAGTGGAGGAAATGTTCGTGCTCAAATAACTGCTATTCCAGCAAGGACAATATCTCAAACATCGATTACGGTAACACGGTCTGTTACGCCAACGACTTACATACCCAGACCTGGAGTAAATACTGCTACAATACAAACAACCCAACGAATGTCAGCTCCGATAAGGAGTTCTACACCACCAACAGTTGCCAATTTGGCTACTGGAACTTTTGTGAGAGGAGCTTCGGTTGCAAGAAATTCTTCTTCACCGGCGACAACGGTTATATCACCAACAAATGCTACCTGGATGGCAACTGGTGGTCAGGTTCAGCTGATTAGGACGATAAGCCACCAACCCCGCCAGAGGTTGATTACCCAAAATATAACAGGCAACGTTTCAAATCCAGGTGGAGTCGTATCTGCTTCTAACGCTGCAGCTGGAATTGTTGCTGTTGGCCAAGTTTCTGGTCCAAGTCAAGGTAGTTCAGGTTCGGCCCAAGGTATACCTTCGCATCAAGGTACATGTTTTTTTTGGTTATACGATTGTATGTATTAAATTATTGAGTGAGTTATATTTTAAATAGGGTCCATTCAAACGTCTCAGCAACAGCAACAAACGTTTGTTGCAACATTGGCGACGGTTTTACCACCACGTCAACAAACAGCAACACTGGTATACAGCAATGTGTCAAATTCTCAAGGGCAGCAATACACTTCTGTAACAGGAGGGTCGGCACAGCGTTATACGGTTGCAACTCCAATTACTGGGAGCACGCAAAGACAAGTAAGACCCATACAGCTAAATAATAGAGCATTTTCAACAGCAACTAAATTGGGTACCGTGAGTGGGATGAATACGACTAGTATTAGTATTCGAGCACCTAATACAATACCTGTTTTAACTCCAACAATAAATACTGGCAACACAGGCACCAATACAATACAAGGTAGATTAACAACTACTTCCGGTCCTAGTGGAAATGCGAACGTTAGCTCTTCTGCAGGTTCATCAGGAAATATCAATTTGCCAACAAATAGCTTAACAACAACGAGAATAATTCAATTACAACAACAACCTGGTACAGGAGGACAACAATTAATTGGAACTGCAGGACAACGTATTACAAGTAATTTGATAATGCAGCCAATTATAATGAATACAGGAGGAAAATTGGGTAATGATTTTATAATGCGCCGAATTCGGTAAATTTATAATTTAATATATTCTAGGTATACGCACACCAGCTACCGTTAATCCAAAGGGTAGCTCTTCTCTAACTATTACCCAATTGGGCAGTTTAACTAAACAATCTGGAGCCAATATTAGTGGCATACAAGGGGCAACAATTTCTCAATCAGCTATAAATCAAACTGGTGCGACGGTGGTTGCGTCTGTTGCTCCTTCGGGTACTATAGTACAACAAACTGCGCAGTCTCAACAACAATCACAATCACAACAACAAAATCAACCAACGTCAGTTAGTTTAAGCGTTTCAAGCAATCAGCAACCTATTACCCAAATTGTCAGTGTTAATCAAGCTCTATCTGGAAGTACCAGTTCTGGTCAAAGTGGTCAAATTATATCTACACAAAATGTTCCAGTATCTGCAACTGTTGTACCTCTGGCCATTACGTCGAAAGGTGCAACGAATGTGTTCACAGGTACTCTTAATCCTATTAAAGCTGGTACTGGAATCGCTGGATCAATTACAAAAGTTATATCGCAATCACTACAACAGCAGACACAACAGCAACAGCAGCAACATCAAGCTAATAATTCAGCATCCGTTGCAGAGATTATTACATCACAATCTGGCTCTGGACAACATCACCAACCAACAAGTGTTTTTATACATGGTATGCAACTAAAAATATTTTCATACCGATAAAATAAAATTTATTTTAACATTTTCGTTTAGCCCGTCCGCCAAATTCTGGTTCTGGTGCAAGTGGGGGTGCTACAGTTATACCAAATAGTGGTACTTTTCTGAACAGTGGGACTTTTTATTACGAATCCGTTCCTGCCAATTCAGTTACAGTATCGACCGGGGTACTTTCCCTTACAACAACTACGGTAACCTCTACTGTTTCCTCCAGTCAACCTGTTACATCTATTTCAGCTGGAAATATTTCAACATCTCTTCCTTTTTCTCCTTCCGGAAATGCTGGTGGGGGGACGTTTACAGTTGTACCCGCATCGGCTGTTACAAATATTGCTGGTAGTATTGGAAGTAGTACCAGTGCAAGTGGTTCCAGGGCCATAGGACAAATTCAAATTCCAGTTTCTGGAAACCTGCCAGTTGTATCCGCTTCCGCTACATCGAACGTCAATTCAAGTCAAATACAGGCTGTACCAATTAGATTCAGCAGTCAAAATATCTCTCAACATACAATTCAGTCACAACAGCAACAGCCGCAAACATTACAGCATAATACAACGTCATCAGCACCATCAACTCTTAATGAGCAAGTTATTTCTACAACTGTTCCGTCATTATCTAGTGCTCCGCATCAGCAGTCACAACAAAATTCATCTCAAGCCCAACATCAAATAATTACTATGACGACTCAGCAAACGCACTCTGGACAATTGCCTTCTGGAAATGCAAATCAACAAACCGCCCATATGATCATACCAATTCAAACTTCTTCAATAAAACTAACAGGTACATCTTCTGCGACGTCATCTTCAGTAGCACAAAGCAATCAAAGGCATATAACAAACAGCAATACAAACTCTGGACCTGGAAACGTTGTCCAAGCAATAGCCAACATAAGTTCTGTAAATACAGCCTTTTTAAGAAAACGTGATACTGAAGGATCCCCAATTAGAGCTGCGAAAAATTTGGCTCCAACATTATTATCTATGGGAACATCCTCTGCTATTTCCTCAGGCAGTAGTCCTGTTAGTATTTCAAGTAGTACAGGAAGTGTTGTAGGTTTAAATGTTGCATCCAGCAGTAATTTAAGTAACACTATTCAACAAAATAACAGCAGTAGCAGTACAATAAATTTAATCAATCAAAAAGAGCACCAACGTGCAATATCACCCATATCAAGGCCGGGATCATCAGATGGCTCAACAACTGTGAGTGCAAATTCCAGTCCCGGTCTGGATCAACAAATGAATGAAGAGTTGCAACCGATGAATCGTATTAGCAGCGAATCACACTTTAATCCTATAAATGAAGTAGCTATTTTAAATACTTTATTTTTTCTTGATTCCTTATATATTTTATTCTTATAAAATTTAGATGTATGCTAATCATCAAAATCATATTCCTTCTTCAATAACTGGAATGAGAAGGCAACAACAACAGCAACAACAACTGCACCAACAACAACACCAGCAACAATCCCATCAACAGCAACATCAACAACAACATCTTCAGCAGCAACAGCAACAAACGCAATCGCTACACACAGATAGTATTCAAATTTCTCAGGCTGCTGTTAGTAATGGAAATATTGAGTTCACCCCACCAAGGAAAAAGTCTAGGAGATCTACGTATGTAGTTTAAAAAATTAATAAAAACATTAAAATTTATTCAAATATTTTTTTTCATCGATTTAGCAATGATAGTCAGAATTCAAGTGTTTCACATCATCAACAATTAAGCTCGCAATCTGGACATTTACCAACACAAAACAATCAAACTATTGCCAATATTAATAATTCAGTAAATGCAAACAATGGAAGCATTATTGGAAATATTATTCAAGAAAATGCTAACAAAGTTAATAACAATGTTGTCAATAATAAGGAAAATGCAAAGCCTACAGATTATATTATTAAAAAGCCGCGAACATGTAATCTTTTAGACGTAAGTTTGTTCGATAAAAAAAATTAAATTTTCTTTATGATATTAATTTTAAAAATTCCATTTCTCAGACTTACAAACAAAATTGGAAATCGGCTAACAATCACTTTCAACGTTATTCTGATGTTAAACCACGTGAGGAACGTCGTCCAACAGTTATGGATTTAGCTAACCAAGCGAATGTAATACAAAAAATAAATGGTTGGAAAATTCATCATTTAAGTGCCCAAATGGAAGATTTGGTAAGAAAAAAAATTCAGTAAACTAATTTCTATTCATTGTTCATGATAAAATGTCTTAATTATTATAGTGTGAAATCGAGGGACAGGTTTATGATAAATTAAGTGAAATGTTAAAAAAATTCGAAATACATGGAAAAAATTCCGAGTTAGATCGTGTTAGTGAATTAATAAAGGTAAATAATATTTTTATTGAAATTATATTAAAATTAATGTTGTTTTTTCTTTAATTTTTCACAATTTCAAATTTTTAATAGAAAATTAATTATATTTTACAAAATTTAATATTATTTAATTTTCAGGGAAATATGCAACGTAGTAAAATAATATCTGATGGAGTAAATGAAGCTAGATCGCAAATAATGAAAATATTTGAGCATAAAAATCATGTTTCCGATATTATTCATCGTTGTGCATCCAAAAGAAATTTTAAGAAAAGAGAAAAGCCATAAAAATCTTTGAAAATGAAGAGAAAAAAATTATAATTTATGCTAGAGAATGAAAAAAAAAAAACAATTTCAAACAGTTTTTAAATATTACCTAATTATTTAATTAATTTTAAGTGAAAAAAAAGAATCAAACGATAAATACAATTTTAAAAAGCTTATATAAATTTCATATATATGTATATATACAAATTTGTATGAATATATATATGTTAATATGCATTTATATGTATAAATATAAATTTTACATATATTTACACGCATAAATTTCTTTCAAAATTGGATCTGTAAAAGTTATCATTTATGATAAATTAAATGAGAATTGAATACAAATTCTATTTTAGATTTAGAGAAAGTCATGTTGTTTTTTTTTTTTTTTTGTATAAATATCTCTAATGCATCTATACATGAATATATATATCATATAACCTATCTATATGAATATATGTATATTTGTCATGAACACTTCTTTAAATTTTATTCTTAATGATGATGCATTACACATTTGGTTAAACGGCGTTATTCAAGTTAAAAGATGTAAAACTTAACAATATTAGATAACATTTATATTGTCCTATATTAGGTCACATGATATATGTTACTAACATCTTATTATTTAAAATAAATAATTGGGTATAATAACCTTATAATATAAAAAAGTATTTTTTTTTTAAAGTTACAAGAAATAGCGGTAGTGTTTTCAAAATTTTAGCAATGGTGTTTTCTAAAGCCAAGTATATTACAAAATTTTTTACGAAAATCCGATTTGATATTCAAATCTTTTTAATGAAATATTTTTAGATATTATATGAAAATAATTAAATGAGCTGTTTAATAAGCCAAAAATTTTTATCTTTTGAATGTAAACTTTTGAAGAAAAAATAAAATCGTTAATTTTCTTTTCTTATTTTAAATAAAATTTTCATAATTTTTATAACAAAAATTAATAAACTTAAACTTTCATATACTATGTAACTAGAATTTAATCTATGTGGCAATGTCCAATGAAAAGGAAGTGTTCTAACCCTGTCATTAGATGATGTAAATTTTCAAAATGAATAATATGATTAGAGATGAAAATAATTTATGTTTTTAATTACTAATTAATTATTAATTAGTAAAGAAAAAAAAAAAATAATTAAAAAAAAAAAAAAACAACTGAATGTTTTGGTAAAAAGCATTGTAAATGTGTTTGTTGGTTTCTTAGAATTTTTGTTTCTCATAAGAAAAAGAAAGTTATATGAAATAGGATTATGTATGTATATAAGCATATATTATATTATTATTTTCTATAGGAAATTTTAGAAAAAAAAACAAAAAAAAAAACAAAAAATAAAATGCAAATATTGTTTAAAAGCACATTTTTGGATATTTAAATTGTACTTGGCAAAAACAAACCAAAAAAAAATTCAAAATTTTTGATACATATGTATTTTTATATGTATAAATTTTCACGAAATAAAAAATGTATATAATTGTTGTAAAAAAATAAACCCAATAGCAAAAAATAACATAAATAAATATATGCTTATTTATATACATTTTGTAGATAATATTTTTCTTTTATGTTTAAGAATCTTCTGAAAAATACAAAATTAAAAATATAAAAAGAAAAAAAAAATTAAAAAAAAAATAATTTCTTGAGTAAAATAAATAAATGAATATAACTATAATTTAATCTTGTTTTAATTTAATATAAAATATATATAAAATTTTTTGAATATTTAATTATAATTATAATTAAACTCTTAGTGAGTGTTTTGCTGATCACTGTTTATCTTCAATATTAATTTTATTTTAAATATAAAAGAATTATGTGGGTATATTTTATATTTCAATAATAATTATATTTAATAATAGTACTGCTTATAACTAGTTATGAATCAAATATTTTCATATTTATATTGTTTTAAATTCGAAACTTTTATAAGTTTATTTGTTTTATAATATTGGTACCTTCTAGATTACCTTTCAGATTGTATCTGTTAAAAAGCTTTTTGTATTTCTCTAATATAAAAATTAAAATAGAAATAGTTAGAAATAGTTATTCAGAAATTGTTTGCAGCTTACATTATAGTCAAACTTTTTCATTTATATCATATACAGAACAAATAGGATAAACCCAATTATTTGGAAAAATGCTATTTGTTTCTTATATTGCAAAAAATTTTTAAGCTTCCATTAATTATAATTACTCTATTTTTTTAATTGTAGCAACGTTTAATTATATTATTTTACGTATGTATGCAAATACAAAAAAATTTGATGACAAATTAAATAACATTTATTTTAAAATTTTGTTACAATAAAATTTTTATTAAACAAATTTATGCTTAATTAAGTTAAAAACTATTTAAATATACGATATATTAATACACGTATATAAAAATATATAACTGATGTGATTAAATCTATTGTGGTGCTGTTGGTTCGGCTTCGTTCTGCGGTTGTCCTTCCTCGTCTTTTCAAAATATAAAAGGATGAAAAGTAAAAAAATTAATATATTAGAAATAAATATTTTTTTTGAAAATTATTTTGTAAACATCTATACATAAATATTTAAAATATAGCATACTTATTTAAAAATAAATTACGATTTAAAAATAAAGGATAATATTATTTAAAGCATTATCTAAGAAAATATATTGAATTTTTTTTTTTATCCAATTGTTAATTTAAGCCCTTTGGGTTATTATCAAATACATAATAGATTATTTTTATTCTTAATTTAAGTAAAAATTTTCACACTTTTTGAAATTCTTATTTTATTACAACGTTGCAAAGATATAAAAAGAGAGAAAAGGATATATATACATACATTTGTTTTTATAAATAAAATTATAAATTATCGAGTTAGTAGTTTTGGAGTTTATAGTAAAAGCGAAATAAAAAAATATTTCTTGTAACACAAATTTATTTTATGACAAAAAACATGCAGAAGCTCTTAACATGCAAGAAGATTAAAAAAAATTCATTTTCAATATTTAAGTTTTAAAGTGAATTATTTCATTGCAAAAATTTTTTTCATTAAATGTAATAATTCAGATGGATTGTATTTTTCAAAGCAATTTACGATGAAATTTATAAAATTCAAATTATTTCAATTAAAAATACTTTGGTCATTTATATATTTTTATTATTCGATCGTTGCAAGATTTTGTATAGCTTAAATAAAATTATTATTATAACAGATTAATTCACCATTTCTATTAACCCATGGATTGGTTTTGAATTAATCGTACAAAATATTAAGGTTTGTATTTATAACAAATTTAGTTGTTACTTATTTGACTAATTTTTGTTTAATAATTTGATATTTTACAAAGCGGTTTGCCAATTATATTCATGGCCAACAAACGTTCTTCATTAGTTAAACAATTAAAAAATTTCATGCATTTAAAATAAAATATAATTTATATTAAAGCATACAAAATATTGAAATTCAATAGATAGCTATTGCGAATTATTTTAACGAAATATATTATAAATTTAAAGTGATTTAAATTTATAAATTCTATAAAATTTTTCTTGAAAATTATATAATTTTAAATTAATTATAATTTAAAGAATCGCTTTTAGAAAGTGGTTTTATGTGGTCTTTAATAGAACTTACATACTGTGTATAATCAACAATAATTTGATTTAGACTTTTATAAAAAATCAATTTAGTTCTCTTTTTCTGGAAATTTCACATATTGAAATTTTAAACCTTATTTTATTAGATTATATAGTATAAAATATAATTAAAAAATATTACCTGTAGGTGTTGGTTCTTCTTTCTTTTTCGACTAAATATAAAAAAGAAAAATAATTAAATTTTAAATTTGTAAATAAAAGTGTAAATAAGAAATTAACCTTTCGTTTTGCACGTGATGCTGCTTCTTTGGCTGCTTCTGCTTCAGCTTCTTCTTGTTCACCAGTTTTGTATTCTTTAGGGAAAAATTTTGCCGCTTCTTGTTCACCAGTAACACAATTTTCACTTACATATGATGGATTACATTTTGAAAAGGCAAGTAAACAATCACTTGTTTTTTTCGATATTTTAACAACAATTTTATCAGTTCTAAATGAAATTAAATAAATATGTATTCTTTATTAAAGTCACATATTTTAATTAGAATTATTAAAATAAAAAAAAAACACTATATGTAGCTGAAATAAAGTCCAGAAAATATCTTACGTAAGATCTTTTGCCTGACATTCTTCATAATTTTTTGCCGAATTTGCTACAACTTTTGCCTCGTTCGGATCTTCACTAGTAAAAAAACCATAGGATAATACATCTTCATTCCATTTGGTTATCAGATCTCTGATTTCTTTCTTTTTGTATGCATCAAAAATTACAACAAGATGTGGTGGATCCGGAATTGGATCAGGCGGAAGAAATGGAACTATTTGAAAATAATAATAAGAAAGTAGATATTATTTATTTTGTCCCTGAAGCATATGGTATTTGTAAGGAAAACATAAGACTACATGCGATAACAAAAATTTTGTTTCATTATTTCATTAAAACTTAATATTTTTTTTTTCAGAAATTACACTTTTTATGTTAGATTTTTGCTTTATGTTTAGTTTTGGTAATTTAAACAATTTATTTTAAAACGTATATTCGTACAGATTTAGAAACGAATACGTACGAGTTTGATGTCGAAAGAATACATATATTCCGGCAGCATTAGTCCTTTTATTTGCTGGAGTCCACAATGATGGTATATAAATTATTTTAGCTGGTGGAAGTGCTGGTTGTTTTTCTTTTTCAGTTTCAACAACATTTTCTTCTTGATGTTTTTCTTCAGTAGTGTCTTTTGGTTCCTGTTGTTCTTCTTCAGTTTTTTCTTCTTCCACTTCATTCTCTTTTTCATCATTTTCATTTGTTTCTTTTGCTTCTATATCAGTTTCGGCTTCATTTTTTGTTTCAGCTGGTTCAGTAGCATTTTTTACTTTATTAACCATTTCACTTTTAGTTTCTGAAAGTTTTTCTAATAAGTCTTCATAAACTTTTATTTCTAATGGTGGAAACAATGGTGGTAGCATTTCTTCTGGTTCATTTTCATCAGGATATGGTTTTGATATTCCATCTCGTAATGCAAATAATGCCTCCTCAATTGGACGTGTTTCTCCTTCTGCCAATTTCCACATAATTATAATTAGTTCTTTATTATACATATGATCTAAAACTTTTGGTTCTATTGGATTACTGCTAGCATAATCAAGGATTTCAATTTGTGATGGCTCTAACATTGATACTTTTCGATCTTTTGTTTGAAGTTTTTCTCTATCAGCAATTTCGAGAACTTTTTTTAAACCATCCCTATTAATGTGTGGGCCGCATATTGAAACTAAAAAATTTTTGCATGTTCATTAATTTTTTTTTTAACTTTAAAATAAATAAAAAATATGTATGCATATATTGATGTATATTACTTCCAGTTTCTTGCATATTTTTCATTATTGTATTTGTACAAAAATTTAAATATGCTTTTCTTTTTAATTCTTCTGCTTCGCGTTCAACTCGTGCATTTTCTTCATCTTGTTTCTGTTTAGCTTCAATTAATTCCACTTCAATTGGTTGTGGTTCATCTATTGCATATGTTTTACGTTCGGTTTTACGACCTAAGAGTTCCAGCTCTTTTGTAATTGTTTGTGTTAAACGTGGAACATTTGCTCCAAACATAATACTTGTTGCTCTTCCATTCTAAAATTCAAAAAATTTTAATTTATTTTTATATTATTTGATTCTATAATAAATATATGAAATCAATATAATATTACAACTATAAATAACCATGTTGGTTCACTTTTATTTCGAAAACGTGATAATGCATCTATTGTATCAGCTTTTGCCTAAAAAAATTTATCAATTTAAAGTACATATGTTTTTTTTTTTATTTCCCGGAAAAAAAAAATCAATCTTACTACTGCCAATTGAAGGTTGTCTCCACCAAGTTCTAATTTAACTTTCTTTAAGTTATTAAGCATTCCAATACAAGGTCCGCACCAATCGGTGTAAACGTCTATTACTAAAATATTTAAAATTTACAAAATTCAGTGTAAACGCAATGTCATTAAATATGATATGGGACACAAAAAAAAAATATGTATACAAAAATTCTTACTTACCTACCAGTCCTTTACGATCCAAATATTTAAATAGTTCTTCATCTGAATTAATTTCATATTGAAAACTTTGCTGTTGTCCTTTTTTAGCCATTTAAAATTAAAATTTAAAAAAAATACAAGAAATTTTTATAGAATTCCAATAGAAAAAAAAAATATTTTCAAATTATATATTTTGATTGATCAAACATGACTGAAATTTTTTAAGTTTGAATATGTGTGTAACTACAACAGAATATTATGACATGAAAATCATACACATAATTACTTATACATACATATATATTTGTATACAAACATGCAATACTTGTTTACAATTTGTTAAACATTCTTGTAGAAAAGTTTTTGAAAAGTGAAAATAAAAATATTTATTTAAAATGCAATAATGTGCTAAGTCCTTTAAGGACAACAAAAAATATATTTTTCAGGGTCGGATTAAATTTTTTTTTTTTCGTTTTAATTAAAGAGAATATAACGTAACATAGATGATGATGATGAATGATTAATAGATGAAAATCATAATTATTTAATAAAATTTTGAATTCCTGTATAGTTGAGAAGTTGCTTGAATATTAAAATGCATTTCACTAAATTGCATTTGAAAATATTGGAATTGAAAACAATTTGTAAGCTTTTCTATTACAAATAAGAGTCGAGCACTTTAAGTATATCGGACCTATATGATATTCATATCAATTAATTGGTATCAATAGATAAATATATTAGATATTGATTAAGAATATTTATATAAATTTTGTTTATTTTGCAAAATGCATTTTAAAAATAAATTTTGTAATAGAAAACTGCAATATAAATGCATTCTTATCGAGTTCAGTATGGTCTCGATGCTTTGTATTTATATATTAAATCAACTGCATATTGTTGAGAAAAATTAAAAAAGAAGTTCGAGACCTCTCTGAACTTATGACTCTAAATGCAATTTATGCAAATTTTTTTTTTTTATCTTATTTTACAATTAATATTTACTGAAACTTGAATTATTAATTATAAAGTCAATATGCTTTGATTCTATTATTTCATTAAAAAATTTTCAATGTGCAGTAAATTATGTGCATATATACGAAAGATAAGACAGGAATAAGAACTTAACGAATTTTTTGATTAGACTGAACAAATAGGAAAGATTTAATAAAAGATTAAGAAAAACCAAACTGATCCTATTAGTGATCCTGTTTTATAATACCGTCTATCTTTTACCTTATTTTTATTTAGAAAACATTTAATTGTTTAAAATAATAATATTATATTGTAGTAGCTAACGAATACCTTGAATTCTTAAAAGAATAATTAATTTACTTCAAAACAGTTTTGATAAGAAATGCTAATTTTCTTAAGTATCAGATTAATAATCACAAAAATTGTCAATAGTATTACAAGTAGAAAAGCGAAAAGCCGCCATTATCCTCTTTTAATATTTAGCTACACTTTTCTATTCTGTATCATCAAATAGTAACCTCAAAATACAAGCGAATTTAAATGATTAGGAAGTTATAAAATAAATTCTAATCGAGCCTAATAACATTTTTAATATTATAATCGCTACAAAATACAAATTTTTGAATGCATTTATTAATAAATTAAAAAAGAAAAAAATTAAATAAAAAAAAAAAATATAATTGCAATAAAAAATCCAATTACAGAGAAAAGATAACGTATTCATCTGGATTTGAACTTATTGGCTCGAATACCTAAGATTTCTCTTTTTTTTTACTAAAAACTTGGTATTCTAAGCCAAATAAGTTACGATAAGAATTCAACAAATTCTAAATTTCAAATCAATTTGTTAATAATATAATAATGACTAACATTAGTCTATATATAAAAACAATAGTTATCAAATTTCTGATATGGAATATATCTATAAAATTCCTATTATAGCATTTATAATTTTATTGGAAATAACAAAAAAAAAAAAAGAGGAAGGTTGGATAAAAGATAACACAGCTGTAATATATTTTGAACTTTATTGAACTATATACAGTAAACATATAAATAATATATATATATACAAACATACATAATGTACCTACTTAGGAAAATGTTACAATAACCTCAATTATAATGATTTTACTTACATTTCACCTGATATTGATTTCTAATTATGGTGCTTCCATACAAAAATAATATATTATACAATATAGATTAGATAAGAATCGTCGTCATATCATGTCATTTATTAGATGTTGATAATTAATCGCATATTATAAATTGTTCAAAAAAAAAAAATTATTGTAATATTATGTCTATATATGTATACGAATCTAGAAAGTAGCAAATCAGTTCGAAATTAACCTTTATATTATAAAGTACATTCGATTATAAATATATTATATTCAAATTAAATAAATTTTAAATTTTGGATAATATTCTTAATTTTTAATTAAATGCTCAATTTTTTATTAATTATTATGATATTTCGATATATTAATATGATAATGGAATGTATTACTATACCTAAAAATTATTGAAGATCAACAAATATAAGATTTAAGGAACTGGCTTCATATGATGATGCATTTATAATAGATTTAATACTAGGGAATACAATTCGATAATATTTGCAGAGCATTGTATTTTCATTAAATCTGTAAATAGTCAAAATTATAATTCTGTGGATATTAGCAGAACCCAATATCAGGCAATTTATAAATGCCGATAATATAAATATTGGGCTCCGCAATTTCGTAAAATTGATTATTTAGAATTATCTGGTTATGGGAACAACATTATATACACATTAGCAACAAAAACAAAAAAGAAAATTTTGGAATATCATAAAACACAGCGATGGAGAAGGAAGGGAGGGAGAGAGAGAGGATTCAACAACTTTTAATATTTTTATTTCTTAATTTGCTCATGGAGTGGTGATAAAGTAAAGATTGACTCTTAAGTATTTCATTTTTATTACAAACTCAAGTTGAACAAAAAAATGGCTTATCGGGTTTGGGCCAATTTCCACAGAATTTTTTTATACTTTTGTATAAAAGCTAGAAAAAGCTAGGATTATTTTTTGGAATAGATCTGTTCATTAAAAGTGACTAGCATTTATGCAATTAATAAAAATTTATTTTCTACTAAGTAGAGTATTTAATTTCACTACAAAATTTAATTTTTAGCTATTTGTATTTTTCATAAAAACACATTAATTTTCATTAAATTAAAAAAAATTTGTAAATTTCCTCATTTCAGTATTCGGAATCGCATTATGGAAATATTGGAGTCTCTATAGAATTAATGATTGTAGTTGAAATTTATTGTTTTTTCTCAAAAATTTTCTAACAATTTTTGTTAAAGAACATTTTTGAAAACCGATTCAGGGATACTATATCACTGTATCACAGAAACCGTTTGTTATAAATGAATAACCCTGTTAATACTTATATATGTACCTATACATTAGTGTAAAAAATTCATATACACAACATCTAATTTTTTCCTTTATATTGAATATATATAACATACAAACATTTTACCTTAAAAATAATGAGAAATAGAAAAAGAAAATAATAATAGTAATAAAAATGTAAGAATAAAAACGTAATTGTAATAACAATTTTTTTTTTTTTTTTGACATAAAAATGAAGATGCCGCCGTCCGGCGTTTTATTGTAATTTTGTTACCATATCATGTTATTATTTTTATAACGGTAGTTCTTATTGATTGATACATGTTATATTTTTTTTTCTCTCTACTAACAAACATACATACTACAATATATACAATATATTATGATATACGAGTATACATATATACTTATTTTTTATAATTCTAATGTAAAAAGGGAATAATAATTAAGAAACGAAAAAAAAAAAATAATAGTTTTTGTGTTTGCGTAAAATCGATTTATTCATTAATAATATAAAATATACATATATCTATACCTATACACCCAAATAGTATATAATCATTATTATGATTAAAACTAATCATTGTTATAGACAGCAACATAAAAACTTATCATCACTCAATTTAATTACAATAATGTTCAATTTTGATCCTCTCTTCCACCCCCCTCCCCCCACCCAAACTCCATCGTTGTGTTTTATGATTTCCCAAAATTTTGTTTTTTGCTTTTGTTGCTAATGTGTATATTGTTGTTGCCAATAAAACCGAAATTGTTAAAAAATTTTGAAGCAACATATCCTATAAATATGTAATACGATAAATGACATACTATACACTGTTATACGTACATACAATTATACACATATAAAAATAAAAATCTATGCTGATATCGTTTATTTTTTTTCACTTGTTTTCCATTTTTACCATTCTATTTTTTTTATAAATATTGTAATTTTTATAGTTTATTTAAAGAGAGAAATCAAAAAAAAAAAGTTTAAAAATTCAAAATATTTCAGGAATGAGTTGGTGACACAGGGGAAATTATATTTTAATTTTATTCGTTAAATTTTATGTATAAATTTCGTTAAAAATTTTTTAAATAATTGTTATTGTATCATAAATTTTTGAGTAATTTTATGCATTTTAACAAATACAAAACTTATATACATATACAATATTACATTAACATTATGTTATACAACTAGCTACCATTAAAATATTTATTTTTTTGAGTAAAAATTTAAAAATTCTCATTTTTTTTATGTAGGAAGAGTGAGTGATTATTGGAGTATTTTATTCTGCGCTTAGGGGTAGCAAAAAAAAAAAAACATTTATAATTTCTATACAAACATATAGATGAATGAAATTTTTTTTTGTTATTGTTGTTGTTGTCAATTTTTACGGTACTCAAACGCAGTAGAGAAAAATTTTATAATATTTATTATACAACTGTAACAAAAATAAATGTGCGCAGGACACTGAGTTCATTTTAAGGCTTAAATAAGTATGTACACACAAAATTTTTATTATATGAGTAGGTGTGTATGTTTTTTTTTTTAATTTTTTTTTTTTTGCTGAAAACATTTTTTTTTTTATTATTAATTAAATAGGGATGCTGAATATTGTTATTATAGTTTTATTTTATTTTTTTTCTGTCAATAATGTATAAAATAAAGGGGAAAAAAATTATTCATATTTTTTGTTGTTGTTGATTGTTGTAGAAAAGCAAAAAAAAAAATTACAACTTTTAAATCCCACTCCAAATATTATAAATGAGAATATGATATACATATTTATGTATATATAGTTATTGTATAGGCATTATAATATTGCATAAATTTATGTATTAATGTGCATTATTTCTGGAATTAAATATAATATATAAAAGTATATAAAAGTATATGCGTGTAGGTAAATGATACTCGTATTTTGTTTTCTTGTAAATTTGGAGAAAAACTATGCTATATTACAATACATCTATTGTATTGCAAATTATATTTTGTACTTAAATACTAAAATATATTAATATATTATACAAATATTAAGGATGGGTGAAGATTAAAGATTTTTTAATATAATAACTATTATTATTATATTTTGAATATGATCACTAAATTGACTATTAATTTAATTTTTATTATAAATGTTTATAGCAAAAAAGAGAAGACCTTGTAATATACATTGCTATATACGATATAAAAAAATATTAAGAGATTAATACAGAAACATTTCAAATATTTGTGTAATAATTTTTTATAATTATTAAAATTTTTTATTCAATATAAAATTATGTACCTCTATATGGTTTTTGAGCTAAAAGTGCTATGAAATTCCTTGTACACAATTGTTGAATAGCCTGTATGATATCACTTTTTTAACGCATGCTTTAAAGTATACCGGTATACCTAATGCAGACTCTATCTATTCTAAACCGATTGCAATATAGGCCTATTATGAACCAATTTTTTCTTCCTTCCTCTACATTTTTCAAATTGCTAATATGAAATTTTTGAAAATAATATCGAATTGTTCATTGAAATACCATACAGATTATAATATATGTATGGAAATAATCATAACCACAATTGAAAAATATTATTAATTAATTACTGTTTATCAATAGCCAACATATATGTATATATTAATGACATTAGTATTCTAAATTGAAAAAGCCTGTATATTCTTAAATATAGTGCAAATTCGTTTCTAAAATTCATTCTCAACGCAGCAGTATATATAGTTAAATATAAATATTTACTATTATATAATCAGTTATATTAATCAGTGATATATATCACTAACTCACGATATTTTCTCGTAAGGGCTGTATCATTTTGTAAACCCTTTAATTCCATTACTAAATTAAAATTACTGTTCTCTATTCAGGAAAAATATTTTGTTTCCCGAATTAAATCCTCATTTTTAATATAATATTACTGATAAAATGAAAAATCATAATTATATACTTACTTATATCATTATTTTATGAGTAAAAATTAAATGTAATATTTTGTTAATGAATATATTATACTGTATATATTACATAAATATTAATGAAAAATCTTTATACTATTAATTAACATTAAAATTGCCATTTTATATTGAAAACAACAAAAAAACAACAAAAATTATGAAAATTAATCAGAGAAAAAAGAAAAACAAGTAAAAAAAAAAACTAATATTGTAAATTGATAAATGTTTATAATATATCAGTTTGTACATCATTATATATTTTAGTTAATATACATATATTTCGAAAAAAAAAGTACGAAACGTAAAAATATAGTAAAAAAAAATACTAATTATTAATTTCAATAAGTTCGCTTCCAGTTCATATATACATAAATAGTTTTCTTTTTTATATATATAGGTCAAGGTATCTATTCATATTACAGAAAAAAAAATGATCACTATATATTGCAGATTAAATTTACAATATATTTAATATACACTATGTACACAATAATATTTTAATGAATGCATTCACATAGATGGAGCTACGTACAATAAATACTATGTGCATGTAGCTCCATCTCATTTTATTACATACAACTATGAATTTATTTGTATATATTAATGCATTATACAATTACAAATATATATATTATGTACATATAGGATAGTAAAAAAATAAATTCTTTATTTGTTTGTTTTTTTTTTTTAATTCAGCTTAATCTTTGATGGAATATCAATTTATAATATAATATATGTATATATATACCTAAAATAAAAATATGTACAAAATATTTCTAATAATAATAAAATAGTATATATAAAAACAATAAACTATAACTGTATATTTTGTTAGTATAATGTGTAAACATTTATATATTTATATCTACTAGTATTTGTATAAGTATTCGGCCAATTCAAATAGTTCAACGTATTGAAAGTTTTTACAATTCAATTTGTGTATCTTTAGCCAGATCCCTAAAACTAAATAATTCTCTTTCTCTCTTGAAAAGATATAGTATGAAGATATGAAATGTAAAAATTTCAACATGTAGACCAATGTAAATTGACGACTTAATATTGTTATACATAATGTTGTATAACTCCAAAAATATACTGATTAGTAATTGTAATAAAATGCATTTTAGGTTTGAAATTTCTTCATTTATATAATTTGTATATATAAAATAACTGTTATATATATTATATAACATAAAACTATAATATATTTATCATACAATTAAATATATATAGATTATAAAATAAAAATATTTTGTTATTTATCATATAAAATTGAAAAAAAAAATATTTTATATCATCCTGCAAGAAAAAGAAAAGAATCCTGTAAAATCTTATAAATGAAAATTTTTTTAATTATTCAACTCCACTATATAACCACGCTTTAATATCCTTTTAAATACTATTTATTTACTTATATATTCAACATATATATATATATAAATGTACTCGTATATGAAATAGTGTAGTAAAATTATTATATATATCATAAGTTGGTGTGATATTTTTAACGAAAATAGAAAAAAAAAGACCATTAAATTGTGTAAAATTTTAAAATGCATTTATACATACAATGTCCATATATATTATTTACAGAATATTGTAATATATAGTGAAATATAACCATATAACTGTTAATATACACACTGTATACTAATACAATTGCAATATTTATGCATACATATATATAAAACCATTATGTATATACAAATTTAATTTAATTTCAACCCTATATACCTATAAAATTTTTGCAATTTCTTTTCGTTATTTTTCATAAGGGACAATAACTTTTAAAATAATAAGAAAGTGCTGAACATAGAATTATTTTTCCCTTTTTTTTTTGTACAACAAAAATTTTCAGCAATATAAAATTAATAATGTCCTTATAATGTATATACAAATACACTTACAATTATATAATATGAGACAGAAAAACTTCACTCAATGTTATATCAAAATATTTTATATAAAATATACATATATATATATATGTATTATTTTGTAACTCCTGAATAGTAAAAAAAAAAGAAGCACAAATATAATAAAATTTACCCCACTTCTACTACATTTTGCTGGATACTACAATACAAACGATTTAGTCGTAAAGTCGGCCTGTTAATAAACGGGACAGAAAAAAAAACCTATTGAAATCCGTTAAACGGTTAATTTAATAACAAAAAAAAAAAGAAAATTAAATAGAAAAAGAAAAAAACAAAATAAATAAATAAAAATTTACACATTTTTAATTTGTTCCCGTTTTTTTTTTTATTATTAATTTACTAAATATTTTAATTTAATTTACTCATACAGCAAATACCAAAAATATTAATATGAATTAAATTTTATTACAAAATAAATTCTAAGTGAAATTAATTTTAAATTCAATATAGAAAAGAAAAACTTTGAAACAAAAATTCAAAATGGAAAAATATATAAAATTTTTATTATATTTACCGACTTAACGGTAATATTATTACATTATAATTAAAAACAAAATTTAATAAACAAAAGGATATATGAGAAAAATTAATTTTCTTCATGGAAAAAGAAACGCGTGAAAAAAAACACAGACATTTTTCATATTCGTTTAAATATTAATTTTCTTCAATTTTATTTTAAATAATTTTTTAAAATAATAAAACTTTCTCTATATAGAATATATTAAAATTATTTTTTAATTTAAAATTTTTATTAAATTTTTCAAATTATATACTCTCGCTATATATGAATTTTATTTAAATGTCTAATATTAAATAATTTTATAGTCTTAAAAAAATATAAAAGAGAATTTTTTTCAATTATTAAATAGAAAAACAAAAATTGAGAAAATGAGTGAAATTTTATAATTCAATGATTTTTTCTTAAAAAAATTATTTTCAAACTGAAAATTACAAAATTTTTAATTATTATTTTTAATTTAAAAGAAATTTTGTGACAAATCAATTATTTAAAATAACAAAACAAAAAGAGAAAAAAAAGAGAGAAAAAAAATGGCATAAATATTAAACAAAATATATAAAACACAATATATACGTATGTATATATACAAACGTGTATACAAATATATTTTCGGTAGACTCCATTAAAGTGCTAATGCCCTTTCTCTTATTAAAAAAAAAAAAAAACAGAAAAACGTAAAGAAATATTAACAGAAAAAAAAGAAACACAGAAAATATAAATAATAAGAAAAGTGAGTGAGTGAATCAAAAAATTTCAAATATCTCAAATTCATTCTCATCCCCTCTCTTTATAACTGTTTTATTTTTTTTTTTAATCATTTTCATATAGATTTTTCTTTCTTATTCTTTTTCTTCATTTCTATTCCTTTCTCTTGTCTTCTTCTCTTGTCTTGTTGTTAATCATCATCTCTATATTATAATATAATTATTTTATGTATATATATATATATATATATATATATATATATATATTCACAGGTTTATATACAAAAACCTGAAAAGAGAAAATATTGTGGTGTGTACGTAAGTAAGGTGATATTTTCTTTCTTAAACTGTTTTTATTTTTTTCATTTTAGTCTTCAATTTTAATTTTTTTTTTACTTTGAATTGTTATAGTTCGATGTTCGTGTTTTGTTCTTAATTTTGGTGTAATTTTGCTTTTTTTTTGAAACCAATATGGAGTCACCATCAACGACAACACCATAGAGATAAAATTTAAAAAAACAGAAAGCAAAAAACGATAACAAGAAGAAAAATAATTTATGAAAAACATTTATAAAATAAAATGATGAAAATAATATTGAAATTTTTATATTAAAACAGAAAAATATAAACTATAAAAAAAAAATAACAATAAAAACAAGAAAATAAAAAATTGAGTTATATCTCAAGGAAAATTTTCTTAAGAATTTTTTCTCTTTCTTTTTTTTACACACTACTACTACTACAATAATAAAACAAAATAAAAATAATAATAATAAAAAAAGTATATTAAATCTATTATACTAGTATTTACTCTATTATTATACACTAAAATTAAAATATTCATAAATTTCGAATAGTATATAATATTATAATAAATATACAAGTATGTAACTATGTACGTAAACGTACAAAATAATAAAAAACAAAAAGAAACACAACAACCACCTTTAATTGAAGTTTTTCTTTTTTCATTATTATTTACGAGTATAAAATTTGAGTGAAAATATATTTGTATTTCTTTTTTTAATTGAGCGAAAATTTACACCGTATATAATATTCTTATACTACTCGTATATACATTGAAATTCACATTTTGTGTTTTCGTTTTTTTTTTTCTATATAAACAAAATAATATTATGTAAAAGAAAAAATAAATTAATAATAAGATTTAATAAAATTAATTAAAAATAAGAATAATTCATAAATTCGATTAAAAATTTTTCTGATGGAAAAAATAAATGAGTGAAAATTTTTTGACATAACAATAAAAAGAGATAAACTTAATAAAATGAGTTTAAAAAATTTCAATGAGTAATTCTCAATATTAAGGACCATATAGTAAAGAGTGAGACAAATAGAGAAAGAGGAAAAAATAAGAGAGATAGAGAAAGAGAGAGGGAACAAAAAAATCAGAAAAAACAAAAAAATCAGAAAAACCGAACGAATACAAAACACAAAAAAAAATTGAAAACGTAAAATTAAAAAACTACAATAAAATAACAAAAAAACAAAAAAAACAGGGGGAAAAGCAAAAAAAAAACAAAACAAAAAGGAGGCAAGAAAATTATAGTTTTAGAGGATGACGTTAGAAAAAGGTAAATAAAATATTAAAAAAACAAATTAATAAGAAAACAAAAATAAAAATTAAAAAAAAAAAACGCAAGTTGAAATGTTCAATTTTCATTGATAATAAAAATTTAATACACAAATTTACAAAATGTATATGTATGTATATGCATGCATACACACATATTTATTATGTGTATTTTAATGTGCATAATTCCCGAAAATGAGTTTTTTTTTTTTTTAAATTTATACAATTGCATTTACATACATACATAACCTTATGTATGTATATACTTACGCCTATTTGGGTATTAAAACTAAATCGCTATTTACAAAAAAAAAAAAAAAGAAAGAAAAAATCTCATTAAAAAAAAACAAAGAAGAATAAGAAAATAAAACAAAAAAGGAGGGAAAAGAAATATAAAACAAAACAAAAAAAATTTAGGTTAGTAATTATAATTTAAAGAAGATACGAACGCAATATTTATGTAGATTAAATTTTAAAAATTTAAGCTTAATCTTTTTTATACTTTGAATAATAATATTATTCTTGATTGCTTTGATGAATGAATATTTGGATTCTATATTATTTTTTGAATTTTTTTTGCACGTACTTACACATATACTTCCATACATACAATGCATAATATGTATTATATTGTATATACTATGTATAGTAGGTTCATGGAATGTGTACTTATTATATTTGGATATTTAATTTGAATAATATAGTGCCGGCTATATTAAGAGTATAATTTTTTTTTTTTTTTTGGGAAAAAATGATTTTCTTTTAAATAAAAAGAAAAAAAGATATTTTAAAGAATTGTATGAAAATATTTGTCTGTACTACATACACACGCACATTTTATGAATACAGATGAATCTCAAAAATCGGAATAATTTTAAAATTCTTGAGTTTCATAAAGTTCCGAATTTTCCTCCTCCTATATGAGACTATGTAAATTAATTGAAACATTAAAAAGAAGAAGAAAAGAGTATGAAACCGAATGTATGATCACCTGCTGGTCGTCAATTAACGTTTTTTATCAAATGTATTCAGAATTATTTTAATGAAAAACAAAATATCCGAATAATTAAATCAAATTGTAAGAAATGCTTTCTTATTAGTTAAGCTAAAGGATATATTTCAATTTTAAGAAAATTAGCACGGTTCTAGACAGTTTTGGTACATTCGAAAAGTTTCTGGATTTCGAATTTTCTGAAAAGCCTGTTATAGCTTATATCATCTATCTAAACAGAGCCGAAATATTAAATTGTAAGAAATTTCGAAAAATATTTTCTTAGATGTGTTTAAAAAGTGTAAAAATTATCTCCGAAAAATATTTATTTTTCGGAATTATCTCCGAAAAATTACTTTTTCTTTTTGTGGCTTAAATAATCAAGAAGTGAAATAATGCATTTATAAGTTCTAGAATAATGCAAATTATAAATTTTCATATGAAATAATTTTAGATAATTTTGAAATATAGGATAAGTCAAACCATCATAATATATTTGTAACAGGCATCATGCTTAAATTAGTTGTATTCCACTTTTTTAAATTCTTTTATATATACCCTATTTGACCAACTTTTCAAGCGTTTGATTGAATTTATTTTACAGATTGGGAGTATTGGGGCCTTTCATTTATTCTTTCAGAATCAAGCTTCAGTTTCAAAAGTCAGTGTTATCTAGGCAGGAGACTAGTCTACCATAGTTTTTATAATACATTTTGAAAGTTATTGATATTTATTGTTTCATTCTTCTTGATAGCCAATATCAAATATTATTGGATGTATGGGTAATTATTTTTCTTTTATAATATTGTTTATTATAGCTATGTGATATTTAATACAATTATTTCGGGAATTAAATCGGATTCCAAACTGACCGTGATTTGAACCCGAGGTCCCTTCAGTTAGACGTTTGAGTATTTAATTGAATGCATATAATAAAAGAACAAACTTTCTTTTGAATGATAAAAATATTTTGAAGGTGGTTACCCTGATCTTGAATTTGAATAAAATTTTGCCAATATAAAGTCATTCTGATATTTTTCATATTAAGTAAATTTGTAAGTTTAACTGGCGAAATGTATGTAAAAATATTTTATTGTACTCAATGCGATCTGTAATATTTGTGTGGATCTGCATCATAAGGAACTTATGGAATAAAAATTTGCGTCTTATTTAGAGGTTAATTTACCCCCGCTGTACATAAAATAAATTTTTTTTTTGCAATATTAGTTATTAAAAATAAACGCAGATGGCAAATTATGCTAATATAAATGTGTAGGAAATAAAAATTTCTCTCTTTCTTCTTTTTATGATCATTTCAAAATAAATCATAAAACCATACACACACAATCACATATAGGTCATTCCTGAAATGAAATCATAAAAAAAAATAAAATATAATATTTATATTCTATTTTTATATATACAAAATTAAATATAAAACTATCTAAAATATGGTATATTTTTAATATAATATAAAAAATAACATTAATATTTATATAAAGTAAAAATAACACATGAACTATATTATACGTATAGAGGGATGAGAGGGTGAGAGGGAGAGGAAGGATAAGAAAAAAAAAGAGAGTGAAAACCTTGATACAAGTTCTTTGATAATCTTCATTTCTCAAAATACCATCAATCAGAAGACATATTGTAAAAAAAATTTTTATTATAACATTTTCTATATACTTTTTCTTTTTACGAGTATAATATTGTTATAATAGTTATATAACACTTTTATTTTCATACATGTACATATATATAAATACAAAACATATAAATAAATAAATTAAAACCTTTAATTTCTAGTCACGTCAACCTTTTGTCCGCCTTCCCATCAAAAAAAATAAATATAACAAAAATAAAAAGTTTAATACACGAAAATCAATGAAATTTCTAAAAAAAAATAAGCAAAAAAAACAGAAAGAAACTGGACCAAAAACTTTAGATAGAAAAACTTATGTTGTGTACCTACCTACATTATAAGAAAAATGATGAAAATGTAGGGTGTCGTCTTATAATTTAAAAAAAACATAAGAAAAAACTTATGATTTTAAAATTTTTTTAAACTTTCTCAAGAATTTCAAAAACTTTTGGTAAAATTTTAGATATAAGAAAAGATGGCAGAAATTTTTTTCCAATGTCAAAAAATGCAAATATTGTATCTCGATAGTTTTATTCGAATTAAATATTTAAATAATAGTTTTATGAAAATGTGCTTTTATTAACAGCAATAATCCTTTATCTGAAATTCAAAAGCAAAATTTCGCAATACTATTAAAAAAATCGTGAAATGGCGTCGTTTGACAAGGTCGAGGTGAATATACAAATTGTATAATATTCAAATATGGGGTAATACCAAAAACAGGCTTTCAAAAGGCGGCAGAGGTCGGCAAAAATAAACCCACATAAAAAAAAAAATAATGAGAATCAACTTTACGAACATGTCAAGCTTCGAAATAAAGAACATATTGATAGAAGATGTGGAGAAATACAATTACCTGGGAAGAATAATCAGTACGAATGGAGGTACACAACTAATATTGAAGACAAGTTGAATAAGGCCAGGGCAGTATTTGCAAGCTTATTGAAAATTTAGAAATCTACACAAATATCGAGGCTAATTTTAATGCCTGTGTTAAGTCTATCATGCTATATGGCGATAAAACCTGGCTAGACAAGAAGAAAAACATAGAGAAATTGCAGGTTTTCATGAATACGTGTCTCCGGACCATATGTAGAGTGTTCTGGTCAAAGACAATATCAAATAAGAATTTATTATAAGATCAGTATACGAACAGGAGCCAATAGAGAAATAAATATTTCGGCTCGGACATATTTTAAGCAGACCTGAGTATTCCATAGCAAGACAGGCAATAAATTGAAACCCCCAGGGATGAAGAAGTGTAGGAAGATTAAAAAATACTTAGAAGAGAAGTGTGTTGAAAGAAATTGTAGAAGTAGGAAAAACATGGACCCAGATTAAAGCGCTTGCCTAAAATAGAGAAAAATGGGGAGGCTTTGTGGAAGCGCTAGGATAACAGGAGTAATAAAGGAAAACAAAAAATACCAAAAAAGGATTGCAATGTAAAATTTGAAATCTTAGTATTGAAAAATCTAAACTTTGTCAATGTGATTGCGAAAATTCCAGAATATTATTTTAGCTAAACATTTTTTAAGCCTCTTGAAAACTAAAATGAAAATTGAATGCCAAATTTTTTTTTTATATTACGAAATATGAAACTTAAGGAAAAAAATTTAATTATCTTGTACAATTTAAGATTATTTTGATTTCATAGAAAATGTTAAACACTCTGTTAATGATCCTTTACAGAAAACAAAAATAAAAACACAAAAAACAAAAAAAAAACAATTCAAAAAACAATAATGAGCTTTCATCATATGTTTACATAAAAATCAAAATTAGTTTTATAAATCCATCAAATTTATTTTTCCAATAATTTTCTCAATCGAACACAAATAAAATTCCAAAAAAAAAAAAAACAAAAACCAAAATTCATTGTAGAAACAACAAACAACAGCAGTAGCAAACAAAATAATAAAAAAAATAAAAATTCAAAATCTTGAACAAAACCAAACCTTCATCTTTATATCATCTATAATTTAAAAGGGAACCTTATGTTTTTATATGTCCTTCATAGTCCTTTCATTTTCGTCAGCTAAAAGTTTATAACATTTTTCTGTTTTCTTACGTTTTTTTTTTTATCTATAAAAAGAAATGATATTAAACAATAATAGAAGGAATGCCAAAAAGAATGAAAAAAAAAAAACAAAAACCCAAACTTAAAGCGTTTAATATCTTCTCAGACTTCTTAAAAATAAAAAAAAAAAACACAAAAATGGCAATAGACAAAACGAAAAATAATAATAATAACAATTTTGGTGGTGTCTTCATATACTCGTATATTGAGGGCATGTTATTATAAAAAAAAAATAATACAGGCAAGAAGACGAAGATTCCTTAATATGTGATTTTTGGTTATCGGTTT